AGATATAATTATGAACAGAATAGATATAATAATTTAAGAGCATATTAGAAACTTCAAAAGGAATTCTGACATGTTAATTGCCCTTTTAATCTGTAAAGCTTAAGCGACAAATTAGACGGGAAAAAAAAAAGAAGGAATATAAAAAAAATTGACCATTAGTGATATTTCATCAACAAGTCCTTTCAAAAAGTTTGATTATCGTTCTCATTCATGAACCTGCTGGTACATGTGAAAATTCTGCGTATTTGCATGATGAAAAGCTTATCATGATTTCATGTTTAAGGCTTTCAACTTCAATTTAGCAGCAAACGTGTGTTACAGGACTGCTTAGAGAAAAGAAATGTTGACAATTACCTTGGTGATGTAAACTTTATCACCATTTTCATTTATGTAATACTGAAGATACATTGTTCCTGATTTTTGCTCTGCCAATTAAGTACTAAGTCTTGTAACAAAAGTATGCAACCACTGCATCACACATAAGGCAATAATCATATATCAATAATGACAAAAATAAGTATGCAAAAAAGAAATGAGATATGAAAATATGAAATAAGATTAGTAATTAGATACTGCTGTTGAGAATTAAGATATAAGAACACTCACTAATTAAAGTATTGACAACAGCAAACAATCATAAAAATAGTCAAAGAGGTACATATAAACACAGTACCAAAGATAAAACGCATGAAAGGTTAGTTAAAAATCCTGTCTCCAAGCAAACTTCAGCATCCTTTTTCATCCACATGTAAGATTCCATACCAAGGAGGTGGCATTATTGTTATTATCATTTGTCCTACGTAATTCCTGTGGATATACACCAATTGTGTGTTTTGGTTCTTTTCTATCAACTTGCCTTCCCCCTTGTCCTTACCCTCTATTATTTGCCTCCAATTATCAACATTACATGATAAATGCTAAGTTCTTTTTTAAAAAGAAAAAAAGAATATAATTACATGATATTTAGCACTTCATGTCACATTTAATTATTATGGAGTCTAATTAAGGCCGGCCTCTCAAAATCAATTTTTTTTCATTTACAAAATTTGAGTTATGCTTGAAAAAATTTGAATGATTTTCACTTAATTAACCCATCTATTGTTAATAAATACTCCCTCTAATCCAAATTATAAGAGTTATATAGCTCCTTCGTAAATGTTAAGAAAATTGGTTAAGTAAATTATTTATAAAACATGCATATCGGTTCCCCTACTACTTTTTTTACTGATAAATACCTCATTTAATCATTTATATTGAAAAAATCCCCCTAGAATAATATGGATAATTTGCAGTAAATATTATAACTTTGAAAAATAAAGTAAATTTAGGTATCATATCTATTATTAAAACAAATCCATCATCTAGCTTTTATATTTCAAGCTACAGGCAGTAGCATCTAAGTTGTTGTTAATATGATTGTTATTTTGTAACACTTACTAATATGTTTTTCATATGATGTCTTATTTAATGCAAAAATATAATTTATAAGTCATGGTTTTAAAAATCAAATAAATTAAAATAATTATTATATTAATATGATCGACATTATAGAGAATGAAGGATGATATTTTCTTTATGACTTACTATTTCAATTCTTAATATTAAAGCTGGGTGAAAATTGAATTTAGTCTTAAGTATAGGACCTTAGTCTATTTTGTTTCTTAAATTTATAATATTTTTTTTCTAAAATATCCCTATTAATTGGTGTTTCTATCAAGGGATAGTTCTAATACACATGATTAACAAAAATCATTTAAAAAATTTGATACATATTTATTACAGTTAACTAATTTAAAACTAGTTTTATTAATTTTGTCTAATTAGTTATTTAAATTTTATATTAAATATAAGGTTGTGGGGTTATACATATCTGAAATGTACTCAATTTAATTATTTTGATCATTTTAAAAACGTGATATTGTATATATCACAAATTCTTTTTGCCAACATATATGTATCACAATTTGATTGATATTGTGTGAAGAACTAATTCATTGGCATTGTTCCTTTAATCTCTTTTAGCATGCTTCTAAACATGTTTTATACTCTTTAATTTTTTTTAAAAAAGAAATTAACGTCATTCTAAAACACTTGAATCCCACTCCTTGTATTAATAATACCCTCTTTTATACTTGTTGTTCTTACACTACCTCCCACATATCTCATATCATCTTCTTTATCATTTATAAACTTCTTCCTATATATGAACAAAGCAAAATAGATGCTTCCTAGACGAACTTGTCGTCAATAATATAAACCTATATCAAGAATCATGCAGTTGTCATTGACAAGTAAAGTAGCAATGTTGACAACTGTCATGGCTTGATTGACAACACAATATTCTATTTCATACTAAGGGTTTCTACCCACACTAACATTTATCCTTTTCTTCCTTTCCCACTAAATTGTGCCTAAACAGAGCAAAACCACCAACAATATACCCTAAAAACAAAGTACCTATCATCATCTTACTACGCTAACTTAAATCACCAACACACACTAACTAAAAACACAGCTTTTCCATTAATTAATTGTTCATCTTAGACAAAAAACAAAAGCTTTGTAGTACCCAGGGGCAAAAATGATTTTCTGAATTCCCATTCCCAAACACAATGAATCTGTCAAGATAAATGTTGTAGGAGAGGAGAGGAAAGAAAGTTCTAGATCTGAAAATTTATGGAGATTCAAATAGAAGCTCTTTGGAGTTCCTGACTAATGCTAATGGAGAAGATGCTTAATCTTCAATGGCTGCTTCCTTCTTTCTCCAAGTCCTCTCTCTCAACCATGGCATACTCACACCACGCGGGAAACACAGTGCCTCTTCTTTCTGTCATGTTAGGGCAATAAAGTTTTTTAAGTTTCTAAATATTGCAGCTAAGTCTCTTTGGGACTTCAAAAGAATTATCATATTTGAAGGGACTTTTTTATTGTATATTTACTTGTGTGGGACCTCAATGTCATTTTCCTATAATTAAATACACGAATGTATTCCTCTGGTCCTATTTTTATGACAGAAAGAGAAAACATTTTTTATCCTATTTATAGGATATTGAGAGAAATTTTTGTATTGATAACTATTTTATCCTTCATTTATTATTATGTTGACTTTATTTATATGAGGTATAATGTATAGTAAATAGGGATAAAATTGAAAAGTTGTTAAATTTTAAATGAGAGTTAATAAAATTTAAGGTTTTTCTTGAACTATGTAAAATATGTTAGAAGTGACTTATAAATAGGACAAGAAGAACATAGAATAAATAGGTTGAATGTCAATTTTGAAATAATGCAAGCAGTTTTTATTTTTAATAGCACTTTTGCTCTATAAGTTTCATAGTACTACATCCGATTATAATTATAAGATCTTATTTGTAATCTATAAATAACATTTTATAAATAGGACTGAAGGTAGTATTAAGTATTAACTATTAAGTGTCAACCGAGTGGCCACTAAGTGTCAATCGGATATTGCATCATATATTAATATTAGGGAAAATGACATTGAGGTCCCATGGAGAAGAAAATACATCAAATAGGTCCCCTGAAATCTGATAATTTTTTTTGAAGTCCCAAAGGGACTTAGATGCAATTTTCAGAATCCAGAAATTACTGTCTTGCCCTGCCCTTGCCATCAGAAAAAAAGACGGGAGAAGTTCATTTGGGTGAGGATTTCCCGCGCAATATGCTTGAGGGAGAAGACATTAGGAAAGAGAGAAGGAGCCATTGATGATGAAATATCTTCTCCATTACCATTAGTGAACTCCAAAGTGCTTCCATGTGAATCTTCACAAATCTTTAGGTGTAAAACTTTCTTTTCTCTCCTCTCCTACCTTTCTTGACAGATTGTGGATTTGTTTGGGAATGGGAAATCAAAAAATCGTTTTTGCCTTTGGTATTTCAAAGCTTTTGTTTTTGGTTTAGGATTCACAAGTTAATGAATGGAAAAGCTGTGTTTTTGGTTGGTGTGTGTTGTGATTTAAGTTGGGTGTGTAGAATGATCATGGGTGCTCTGTTTTTGGGTGGTTTTCCTCTGTTCTGACGTTAGTTTAGTGACAAAGGAAGAAAAAGATGAAGGTTAGTGAGGGTAGAAACCCTTAGCACGAAATGGGATTGTGTTGTCAATCAGGCCACGATTGTTGTCAATGTGTGCCGTGACACTTGTCAATGTAGCTCCTTAAGTTGTCAATGACAGTTGTGTGCTTCTTGATGTAGGTTTAAGTTACTGATGGCGAGTACGTCTTGTAAACATCTATTTTGCTTTGTTCATATAGGGGGAAGTTTATAAATGATGGAGAAGATAATATGAGATATGTGGGAGGTAGTGTAAGAACAACCAATGTAAAGGAGGGCACAAGTTATAAAGAATTGAAGGAAATTATATCATCAATTGCTAGAAAAGAAAGCAACTCATTTCTTCTGAAATTCTCAGTTGTGTTTGATAAAAAAAATTTGTGGAGTTGGTAGATGATGATAGGGTGGAACATTTGATAAAATTCAATAAAGAAAGTGGTCATGTGTATGTCGAAGAAAATAAAAATAAGGACCACATAGAAGCAACAAGGGATAATACAATGGAGGAGCAAGATGTGTAAGTATAGTTTAACAAAACTATTATTGTGATTTCTTAGTATATCAATTGTTACTGTATTGCTACTAACTTGTCAGTGCATACACCCTGACTTGTCATTTTCTGTAGGATTGATCAATCATTTGGAAGTGTCAATGAATTGTTTATGTCTCCACCTACCTTATTTGATGTGATTGGAGAGCCACAATCAATTCCTTGTGCTGTTGAAATGATCCCAACACCTACACCACAAATAAATTTCACAAAATGGAAGGATTTGATTATTGGAGAATGACAAATATTTCCAAATGCCACTACTCTCCGAAAAACATTATACAAGTACAGCTTATGCTAGAAGTTTTCATACCTTTTCATTAAGAATAATCAGTAAAAGATCATTGTGAAGTGCAAGGTTGGTGGTTGTCTATGGTATATGGGTGCATATTCAATGGGAGCACATCAAGATACTGAGTTTTTAACTATCAGAACGTACAAAAGTGAACACATTCATCATGCACAGGACAGCTTAATTGTTTCTCACTCAGGAAGGTCAAATTTAGCTATTTCAATTGTGATTGATGACTTGAGGTGCAATGTTGACAAGAGTCCTAATGAAATTAGAAAGGACTTGTATAAAGAATATGGAGTGCAATTGAACTATACTCAAGCATATAGGATTAGGAAGAGAGCACTAATGGAATTACATGGTCGAGTAGAAGATTCTTACAAGGTAATCCCTTGGATGTGTGAGAGACTAATGGAAACTGATCTTGACACAGTTGCAAGATGGGAAGGCTCAGATAGCAACCGATTTGAGAGGCTATTCATTGCATATGGATGCTCAATTAAAGGCTTCGTGGAAGGTTGCAGACCAATTATTTATATAGATGGATGTCATTTGAGTGGTCCTTACAAAGGAACTTTATTATCAGCTTGTGCATTTGATGCAGACGATGAGTTGTTTCCTTTAGCATATGGTATTGTTAGCAGAGAAACAAATGATGAATGGACTTGGTATCTACAGAATCTGAAAGAGATAACGAGATCAGCACAAGTGATAATTGTCTCAGATTGGAGTAATGCTATTATCGGTGTTGTCAGGACAGTATTTGATGGTGACAGACATGCTTTTTGCTATCGACATGTGAAAGAAAATTATAGTGCGCAGTATGTGAAAATCAATAGAGGTGTGAGACGGACCTTAGAAAATAACAAGGAGAATGCACTTAATTTACTTGATGGAATCGCATATGCAAGGCATGATAATGAGTTTAATGTTGCAATGGGAAATTTAACATTGTTTTGTCCTCAATTAGCACAATGGGTTGAATCTCATGGGGATGTGGATAGATGGGCGCAAAGTAAATTTCCTTTTAAGAGACGAGATAACATCACCAATAATCTTGCTGAGTCTTTTAATGCATGGATGTTGAAAGAAAGGAAGCACGCCTTGCCGGTTTTGATGCAAGAGCATCAAGAGAAGTTGGCCAAGAAGATGGTTGCTAGCAAAATGGGTATGAGAACCTGGAAAAATGGTGTAGGACCCAATATTGAATCAAAGTTGTCAGAACAAATAGTAAGAGGTGCATATATGGAGGCAACATATTATGTTGATGACCATATTTCAGTGCAAGACAATACGTGAGGGACGCATCATCTATGATGCTGTTGATCTGATTTCTCACAGATGCACATGTTTGGTATGGCAAATGAGTGGAATACCTTGTCCACATGCTTGTGCGGCAATCAAACTAGTTCACCGTAGTATGTATGATTATGTAGATGATTGTTACAAATTATCGACACAGGAGAAAATATATGCAAATAGCATGAAGCCAATTGTAACACATGATTGCCTACAGCCTGATACACCTACTGTGAGTCATATGCTGACCCAAACATTCTTGCATCCACCGATAACCAAAAGGCCTCCAGGAAGGCCAAGGATTAATAGGATAGAATCTTAATTCCAAAATAAGAAGGTTTATCATTGTGGAAGATGCAAAGAGCCTGGACACACTGCCAAGACATGCAAGAACCCAAATCCTAACTGAGAACATATTGAAGTTAGCTATTTTTTGTATATGGATGTGAAGAGAATATTTTGTAAATGGGTCTGAAGGAAATTTTTTGTAAATGGATACACACCACTGGTTAGTTTCATTATTACATGCAACCCTATGTTTTTTTTGGGATGGGTTGTGAAATAGGTGTAGTTTCATGTATATGAAGGTGTAAATGAAAGTTAGCTATGAATTGGCATGTTACATTGTACTGTCATTTTAGTTGTCATTACCTGCACCCTGAGTTGTCACTAGACCTGTTATGAGTTGTCAATCATTGCACTATGACTTGTCAATGAATTTGCTGATGTAAGTTGTCAACAACATGAATTCAAGTAACATAACCTTTTTACCATGAAATGATATTTACAATCACTCTGTCATATTATATTTTGGTTGTATGGTCATATATAATCATTATTAATGAAGTGTCAAAAACTTACCTCTCCCTTGTCCCCTGTCAATAGTGGCTCTGTGACTTGTCAATAACAACACTATGACTTGTCAATGGAACATTGTGGCTTGTCAATGACAACACTGTTCCTTGTCAATGGTTTATCTAGTGACTTGTCAATGGAGCATTGTGACTTGTCAATATAGCACTGTGACTTGTTAATGGCAACATTGTTCCTTGTCAATGGTTGCACTATGACTTGTCAATGGGACACTGTGACTTGTCAATACAGCACTGTGACTTGTTAATGGCAACACTGTCCCTTGTCAATGGTCGCTGTCAAGAGAGCATTGTGACTTGTTAATACAGCACTGTGACTTGTTAATGGCAACACTGTCTCTTGTCAATGGTTGCACTATGCCTTGTCAATGGGGCACTGTGACTTGTCAATACAGTACTGTGACTTGTTACTGGCAACACTGTCCCTTGTGAGAACACTGTCCCTTGTCAATGGTCGCTATCAAGAGAGCATTGTGACTTGTCAATGGAGTACCGTGACTTGTTGATGGCAACACTGTCCCTTGTCAATGGTTGCACTATGACTTGTCAATGGAGCACTGTGACTTGTTTATGAGAACACTGTCCCTTGTCAATGGTTGCACTCTGACTTGTCAATAGGGCACTATGACTTGTCAATGGGGCACTGTGGCTTGTCAATGGTGCACTGTGACTTGTTATGAAATTCTCATATCATTTGTCATTAACTCCTGTTATATTAGTTGTTATTTTGGATAACTCAGGTTGTTAATTTAAACGCAAGGTAACCAACCATAATATCTCTGCACATATAAAATAGAAATATAATTAAAAATGTAATAAAACCCTAACAAATTAGTATTACAATATGTGATGACAAAGGTAATAATATTATAAACATAATTTGATCAGTTTGTTACAAAATGACCTATTTGCTAATCATCTTACAACACATATCATCGGCTAAGAGAACAAAAAATTCATAGACTACTCTATCTCCTCTTCTTGGTCTTGTTGTAGTTTGATAGCATCGATATCACTTCACTCCTATGTTCATTATTTGGATGAGTAACCAACCACCACAAACAACCAACCTTCAACTCTTGTAGTTCATTATTAGAGTATCATGGCATTGTATATCCTGCATCATCCCGAATGGTGCCATCCCACTCTTATAGCCAAGAGATAACATGAACTCCACATGAATCACTACGAAGTAAATTGAATATGTTAGCACCTTGCAATTGTTATTATGAACAAAAACAACATAACACAGTTGAACAAAACAACTACACTTATGTATCATTCTGCACATAGACTTTAGCCCATTTCACTTCGTTGTCAATTTTGTCCTCATTGACAAAACAACACTAACAGCATGGAAACACATCACAACACACATAATGAAAAGGCATCACTAACAATACAGCATCCAGTAACAAGGCACAAAGCATCCAGTGACAAGGCACAGACAGAGCATCCAGTAACAAGTAACACAGCATCCAGTGACAAGGGACAGAACATCCAGTGACAACTAACAAAACATCCAGTGACAACTACCAAAGCATGCAATGACAACTACCACAGCATCTAGTGACAACTAACAGAGCATCCCGTGACAACTAGCACAGCATCCAGTGACAACTACCACAGCATGTAGTGACAGGGGACATAGCATCCAGTGACAACTAACAGAGCATCTGATAACAACTAAGGGCATCCGGTGGCAACTAATATATCATCCAGTGACAAGTAACAGATCATCCAGTAACAACTAACAACTAATATATCATCCAGAGACAAGTAACAGATCATCCAGTGACAACTAACAACTAATATATCATCCAGTGACAAGTAACAGATCATCCAGTGATAACAAGCACAGCATCCAGTGACAATTACCAAAGCATGCAATGACAACTAGCACAGCATCCAGTGACAACTACTAGAGCATGCAATGACAACTATGCAGACTACTAGTAACAATTATAATAGTCATTGACAAGTATAAAAGCTGTAAATAACTACTCACAATTTATGTTGCCATGAATTGTTTGGGGTCGAACTGCCCTTTATTTGTCCTTCTTCTTCTTTTCTTCTTCCTCGGCTTGTAATCTCATGAATGTGATTCTATCAACCAACGAGTCAAGGGTGTGGAAGGTCATGGTCTTTGTCTCGAAAACATAATAAAACCAATGATCTTTAAATAGAGTAGGACCAAAAATAAAATCGCAATCCCCGATATTGTATCCAATATATTCAGGTAATATTTCTCTTTCATGGTCCTCCTATTTCCACCTTAAAGGATTCGCCACCATTTTATGCATGAAATCTGCAAAAAATATATGGCGGTTGACTCGCCCGTCTTTTTCCTTTTGATCTCCAACGAATGTCTTCGCCACCATAGTCATAAACTGAAATTGCAAATACAAACAAATTACAACTCCTTAGCATGCAATAACTCATTCTAATATTAACTATCTACGTGTGACTCACCCTGTCATTTATCCATCTTCTACGTTAGAGACATTGCAACTCACCACGGGTTAGGAAGTATCCATACATCGATACAAAGTATCTAACACAAATGAAACACATATGAAGTTAGTAAATTCAGTAAATTCTGTAACATAATACAAAATTGGTCACCAAAACATAATACTTACTGCTCTTGCTGCTCTTGATTACACCTTACTGCACACATGTCAAATAAAGCTTGCCTGTCATCAATTGTTCTCTTTTTCCCAGCCTTGCTTTTAAATTCCAGAAATGGAGACCTAAGAGCTTTTCCCTTACTTATCACCCTTGTTGATTTCCTCACATATTCGTTCCCTTCACCTTAGGTGGCCTCATCCACTTCTTTGTCCTCTTCATCCTCTTCTTCTCTTTTATTTCTTCTTCATCTTCTTTGTCCTCATTTCCCTTCTCTTTTTCCTCTTCATCCTCTTCTTTTTCTTCGTCATGTGATTCTTGTCTACCCATCTCCTTTTCTAACTGAGTTTCTTGCTCTTCTTGTTCATTTCTATCATCTTGTGATTCATATTCTTCTTCTTCATTTCTGTCATCTTCTTCCTCATCCTCTGAATCACTTCCTTTCTCAACTTTTTCCTCTTCTGCTTCAAATTCTTCTTCCTCATCTTTGTCCTCTTCACTTACATTGCCACTGCCCTCCCTTAGTCTTGACTGAAGGGCCATCATTTTCTCCCCCAGCATAGACACTAATCGAGTATATGTCTTTTTGATCTCTTATACAAATAAAATTCAGAACAGTAAGCAACAATAGAAAAACAAAAAAAAACAAGAAATTAATCATTAAGCCTACAAGTCCACATACCGGGTGAGTTAAATTTTCAAGATCAAATTTGGTGGATTGCTTTGTCGGATGCAAGAGTCCTCGATTGCTTTCCTTCTCCTCTTTAACTCTTTGCTGTACTTTCTTTTCATCCCAATATACAACAGCATGCTTTACATGTGCAGCTTTTGTTTCTCCCAGTGGAAAATTTTTTAGACAATATAACTGCATGTGACATGAATGATAAGTTAACAACAACCATTAACAACATTCAGACCATCAAATGACAACAGAAATATACAAATTATTATAGCACTTACCATTAGGAAGTATAGACAACCTGGCACATTCTTCTTCTTCTCAGTCAACTTGCCTTTTTCCAATTGTTTCTTGTACACTCCAATCCCCTTATATAGTTCATGCAACACATAAGAGGACTAATCAAACTTATCCAATCTATCCTTTGTTGATAGTATTACCTTTAACAAATAATCACCGACACAAATACTTGCATTAGGACATAACAACGTTCCCAATGCATACATGACAAACAGCACCTCAAAATTTTCATCTTGGTTCTCCTCAATCAACAATGATGTTATCTTCTTGTATGGAATATTGCCATACACAATCCTCCACTGCTTGAACACTTCATCTTCATTATTCACAACTACTTTAATCTCTTCTCCGTCAAATGGTAGCCCTAAAAATTCATGCACATCTTTTGCCCTCATTTCCCTTTTCTTCCCTCTTATCGAAATGTTTTTTGTTGCAAGATCAAATGCAGACATAAACTCTCCACACAATTCTCTTTGAATTGTATGGCAACAGACTTCAACCAACTTGTCAAACCCTAATTTTTTCAGCCTATTCATCAGTTCCTTCCTTTCTTTGATGTGCTTGCAAACTTGCATGAATTGTTTTGGTGCACATCTTGTATAGAAAGGAACAATATACTTCTTGGACTTGGTGGGAGGTCTTTGTGCTTAGCCCTTTCACAATATTCCTCTCTTTGTTGTTCTGATAATTTATCCCACACCTTTCTCACTTGTGCATTCCCTGCTTCAAGTGATTTGTACTTCTTTGAGCTTTTCTTATAGAATTCCTCCGTAAACAAGGCATAATCGGAGAAATTACTGCTTCTTTGTGCATCCTTCCCCATCTTTAGGGCTGAACATGGACTAGACCGGGCCGGGCAGGGCATTAGCCCGTGGTCTGGTCCATTTTGGTCTTCGAGCTAGTCTCCCCACCCCGAAGACCGGTCCTGCCCAGTGAGGAACTCGTTCTTCTTCGGGTTGGGCGGACTGGACCAGACTGGACTGGGTTACTGGTCCAGTAGGTCCACCAATCCAGTCTGGTCCAGTCTAAGTCCATATTCTTTGCCCTGTTTTTTTTTTAATTCCTAATCAATAATTGCCAATCTATTGCATAAAAAATTCCTATCTACTTGTCCTAAACAGAGTAACATCATGAGAATACTAAATTCCAAATAAGAATAACTTTAAAACAATCTACAAATTAAAACCGAGGAGCTGAAATCAAGTATAAACTATTAAGCTATAAACAATACAATGAAAAAAGAAAACTGTAAAGCAACAACTAAAATCCATAATATAATATCAAACAATAAACTAGTAAAGTCCATTACACTAAGCCTTGAAAGCCTGTGGCTTGCTGGTTCATGCGTGCTGCTGCACTTTTCAGCAAAATGCAAGTGCGAATAGGCAAAACTGCAAAACAAAAGAAGGAAAGTCCATTACATAACCCAATTGGGGAGTCATTGAGCCCCTTTGACTTGAAATGGAACCTTGCTCCTCCATTTCAAAGTGATAAATTGATAATATATCTGTAATAAAATGAACCAGAAATGAGAATAGAATGACAATAATGAAGTCTTTTGCTTTCTATTTATTTATTTTTCAACTTTAGGAGCAATAATTAACTATGGCAGAGCTTAGTTCAGCAACTAAGTAAACAAATTATTTAGTTCAGCAATTAAGTAAACAAATTATTTCAGCAATTAAGTAAAAAAAGACATAAATCGGACCCAGTTAGTTCAGCAATTAAGTAAACAAATTATTTCAATCAATAAAAACATTCTATTCAGCTCAAAATAAATACTCCATCACAGAGCAGTCAGAGCTTAAAATGGCGCTAGACAGGCTCTCATTTATGTTAGCCTTCTCCCTCATCCAACCCCCACCCAAACAAAAGCAATTTAAATCTGGACATTTAACATAGAAAGTTTGAAACTTCATATCTTTAAAGCAACCAGGTCCTTAAAACGAATCCAGGCCCCTTTCAGAAAGAGGGGAAAAAAACTTTTATCTACCTCTTATATGCAGTGAAGATCATGAGAATAGTCAAGTATTCAAATCTAACAAGAGAATATCATATAGATGTTCTTTGGGAATGAAATACTAATAATAACACTCAAAAGAGGCATCAAACTTACCTGGATCTGTAGTGACGATGACGGAGAAGGAGAGACGTAGCGAGCAAAGAGTGAGCAGCAGTAGCAACTAGCAAGCACAGCAAGCTGCTACGGCCTGGGGTTAGCGGCGCTACGTTGCACAAATCGCAAACGGGGACGGCGATAGGGGAGAAGCAGGTGGCCACTTCACTAGACGCTAGGTTTCGAGGCTGGAGGCAATTTGGGAAATGCCGAAATGGGAATGGAAATTGAGAGGATCTTGGATAGTGGATAGTGGACACCTGATGGTTGATGTGGGACGGTGGGTCATGGGTGATGCACTAGTGCCAAATCGCAAATGGGCCAAGGGAAATCAAACTTGGGCTATTGGTCCCTATAAAACTTTTATATATATATATATATATATCTTGCAATTCTTCGGGTAGGACCGGGTTATCAGTCCACAGGCCTACCCGAAACCCCGTCCTACCCGGTATTCAGGTCAGACCCGATCTGGCCCGAATTTCACAAGGCTTTTTGGACTTTTTTAAAAATTGGACCGGGTTTACCGGGTTACCAGGATTCATGTACAGCCCTACCCATCTTCTTATCCTGCAAAACAAGACCAGTGCATTGAACTTCAATTCTTCTTAAATTCCAAGTAAACTTTTGCAGAGATGTAGAGCTTCATAGATATAAAAAAGAAAATTGATTCAAAAGCAGTACAATAAATATACAAACTAATCCATTCAGACCACATCATTCATTTACTATGAGATTTATAATAAATATACAAACTTTCTGGCAATTCTGCTCAAATCCTCAACCCCAACTCTTTCAAACCACAGCAAACTTCTCACACTAGTTCCAGAAAGATATACCAAAAGAGGGGTTTTTCCAGGTTTCTCGGTATGTCAACAAATGAAAGGCTTAATCAGTGATAAAAAGATTCAATTTTTCACCAATAAATCAAAGGCTGCATCATGCATAATTCAGACGCAATCATCAATATGATAATAGAAATCCCAAAAAGGAAAGTAGTAACAATTACAGACCAAACAATCTTGACAAATACTTCGAACTCCAAACAAGGCACATCAATTATTCAGCCTCAAATCTGCTTCTTCCATATTATCATATTCTAGTTATTTACCATTTACGCATTTCATAGCTCATCTCATCATGTATCATTCTTCTTACAAGCCTTCTTGGAAGTGCTTTTAGAAGGCTAATGCCTCATCATGTATCATTCTTCTAAACATGTTCCAATATGCATACCATCTTATGGTCAAGGGAAAAGAAAAACATTGGCCAAGCATAATCAAAAGCATCCCGCGGTATTTGATGCAAATATTGAGCAATGATCAAACACAACAACAAACAAGCTCTACTTTTCTGATTCATACGCGTTTACCTTCTTCAGTGTCGACAATGCCTCTATCTGTGAAAACAAATTGTGAGAATAGGAGCTCTGCTTCAAACGCCGATCAACGGAGCCACCAGGACGACTCCACTTCGCTTGAAAGGCAAATGAGCGCAACTACAAGGACGGCCTCCACTTCACTTCAGATGCCGATCAACGGAGCCACCAGGATGAGCTCGACTTCGCTTCAAATGCAGATGAACAGAGCCACAACGACGACCTCCACTTCGCTTCAAACGCTGATGAACAGAGACACTAGGACAAGCTCCACTTCGCTTCAAACACCAGGACCAGCTCCACTTCGCTTCAAACACCGATGAACGGAGATGCCAGCACTTCGCTCCGCTTCGCTTCAAACACCAGGACTTCGCTCCACTTCACTTCAAGTGCCAATGAACAGAGCCACCACGACAGGCTTTCAAGGACTTCAGTCACGATTTTTGGTGGGTTGTGAGTAGATTTCAAGCAGCACGGTGGGTTGTAACTAGATTCTCAGCACGAAGGATTTTGGACAGGACGAAGGCGCTAGACGGTTTCTTAGTCGAACAAGAAACAGGGTTTCAAATTTTCAATCTCAGCATTTTTGAATGGGAAATCATGAGTAAGGGCAAATAAGTCATTTGAAGATTCTAAAAATTGCATCCAAGTCCCTTTGGGACTTCAAAAATATTATGACATTTCAGGGGACCTATTTGCTGTATTTTTTGTTCTGTGAGACCTTAATGTCATTTTCTCTTAATATTAATACCCGAATATTATATTCTTTTTTTTTTTTCCCCGTCTTTAATAATCATCGCTGGTCGCAACACCTTCCTGAAGAATCTTTAATATTATATTCTCCCGGAAGGCCATTAGATGCTGAACATGGAGAAGGCGAAGGAATTGCTGCAAGCCACCCCTGAAGAATCGCAATCTCTGTCGCAACACCTTCCTCCCCTCACATCTGACACAAAATTGTGTTTCTACGAGCAATTTATCCTCAGAGGCATCCAAGTGGATCGAGTCGAACCCGGTCTCGTCGTTTGTACCTTCAAAGTCCCTCCTCGCTTCACCGTAACATGCCTCCTCCTTCAATTGTTCCTTTATAGATTTCATTTTTTTTTTTTTAATACTATTCTAGTAACAGTGCATTTTTCGCATTCATCATTTCTGCTGATTTACTAGGTGGAAAATTATCTTTCGTTTGGTTGTTAAACTGAGTTAACTGGTTTTAGTTCTCATTAGGAGTGTTTGGGTTTGAATTCTTGTTCTTTAGTGATTAATTGCTACTGTGCATGCTATAAGTCGTGTTTCTCTGTGCAATTGTGTTTGTTATTATTGATCCTCGGTAGGTAAAGTGGCTCATAAAATGTGGAAATCATTCAGAATAATCTTCTAATCCTTAATGGGGCAGAAGCTTACTGCTTTTGCGACTTTTATCTTATTTTATTTTATTTTTTGGTTCCCTGAAATTATTTTATGAAGTTCTTTGATAATGTGAAACATATTGGATTTCCATCTGCAGGACAGAACTGGGAAGTTGGCTAAGGGTGCAGTAGCCAACCTTGTGGATGAAGTTGGAGGTGCCGTAGCTCATTCGGAAGGTCACCCCATGAATGTTTCAGTTGACATGTCCATTTCTTATCTTTCAACTGCCCATGTTAATGTAATTTTCTAGAAACTTACTTTTGATATATGTGCCTTTCAATCTGATGCCAGGTTTTCCTCTCTTTCTTTTATACAGTAGTTATGTCGTGCTAGCGAAACTGAATATGAGTAGAGTATTCAAGAGGAGGAAGAGTGAGAAGTTTAAATGTATCAGATCATGCAAAACTTCTAGATACATGACAATTTTTCACCCCGGCTTCACTCAATGAGGAGAAAGGTCTAGCAAACGAGCACTAATTTAATTATGATAAAATCCTGATTCAAAATAAATTAAAGAAAGTCTTGTATAAAATAAACCGTAAACTCTCTTCAAGTTTTCAATTTTCCATCAAGTGGTGTTTGGATTCACATCTCATTTTTGCACCCATGATGTTGTTTCTATCACTCCCAGGACGCTATGTGTATTTGCTTATATAAATGTAGAAAAACCACGTTGTTTTTAGATTGTTCAAGTGATCTGCTTGACGGCTTTGACATGGTTAAGGTACTGTTAACTTGTTTTACCTTTCCTGTATATATTTGCTATTAAATCTTTCTTTGCAAATTTCTATCGGTGTGGGATTTGTGCATCACTACCAGTTCTTGCTGTAATTGTTTACTTTATCTAAGTCTTGGTTCTTTACACCGGCTCTGTTCTGAAGTTTCAAGCTCTCATTTCTAGTCATTCCTTGTGCTAAGAGCACCAATAGTTATTTTATTGATATGAATCTTATATTTTGAGGGTGCCAGATAAAGTTTAGCGTGTTTTAATGCAGTGAATTGTGAGCACCAGCAATTATTTTGTTGATATATGAATCTTCATGTTGAGCGTGCCAGATATGGTTTAGCGTGTTTTAATGTGGTGAATTGTATCCTTGCATTAACTGGTGCAGGATGAACTAGAGATTACTTCTAGGCTCTTGGGACGGAAAGGAGGTTATTCTGGAACAATAGTTCACCTCAGAAACAAAGCAACTGGAGAATTAATAGCAGAAGGTCGCCATTCACTATTCGGGAGACATGCAAGCAAAATGTAGTTCTTTCATGGTGTATGTGTATGAATCTGGTAAATGACTAAATGTATGTCTATGTATTTGTTTCTTGGGTATGTTCTCAAAGGACATAGAGAGGGGCTTTTGTGCACCGAATTTAAAAAAATAGAAATTCTCTCCTTTTGAATTACGGGTTTCTTCAGTTACTTTGGGCACAAGCATATAATTAAATTATTGCGAACCTGCTTTATAGGGAGTTTGAGGTGAGCCCTGTTGTCTGTATACTCTATAGCTTAAATAATATAAATTCTTTCAGATTTTGTTTGTATATATTATAGATTGTGTCATTGTTGACAGTACAAATATGGAAATCACAATTTGCAAAGCTTACATTAATAGAATGCAGTTTCTATTAGATGCGTGCTAACTCTGCAGTAAGCAACTCTTTCAAAGTTACGGTTTCATGAGAGAATGCAGAGACATGAAAGAAGGATCTGCTTGCTAGTTTCTCTTTTTACACTTACTTTTCAAATATACATACACAACTGTTTTTTATGATTGCAGAGAATTTGAATTATAGCTCAAGAGTATTCTACAACATTACAGGTCAAGTTGCTTATAAATTTACTTCAAAGGTCTTGATCAACATAATGCAGGGTTATGGATTGAATCAAGACATACTGAAAATTTCAGTATGCAGAGAGTTGCAAACACAGGATCTAGCATATTTATATCCAGGAGAATTCTCAACTACATATCCACCAACCTAATTATAGATATTTTTAAAATCTCATACAGTTTAGTACTGGACATAACACGTTAGTAAACTTTCGACATGTCTGAAGTATTCACTTTGAGGATTCATTGGACATTTCAGCAAGCACTGCGTTGTATTCTTCTCTGAGACTGTTATATTGGCTGCTTAAGGTATTGAAAGTTTCCATTTTCTCCTCTGGAACGTCTTTCTTTATCTTCTCCAAACGCTGCTTTGTGGATTCAATTTGCCTCTTGAGCTCTTGCTTTTTCTGAACTTTCTCTTCATGCTCTTTCTGTAATGCCTCCAACTCTGATTCCTTAACTTCTGGATTAAATATCTCATTAAATTATACATGTATATTAACAGAAATGAGATAATGGTAAAAATATTAATGTCAGCATCACCAATAATCAATTTATTCCTTTCAAATCTTAACTCCCAATTTTGAATGTCAACTATGATGGTACATGATCACTATAGTCCTATGTAAGGACTACGTAATTAATTTGAGTATACTAAGAGAGATAGATAAACAAGTTAATTATAACAAATCTAACCTAATCTCCTACTTTTGTGTGATATTACTATAAATGAAGTATATTAGTTTTGACATTAAAAAATGATAAAACAAATGAATTAAAATCTTACATTTAAGAACAAAACTAACTCTTAACTAACTCATACCTTTTTGAATTGGGGGAGTATTTCAAAGTAAAAAAAAAAAAAAAACAAGTGATAAATGGCAATGAAATTACTTGAAAGGAACTCAACAATCATTCTAATAGTTGTGACTATTTGTATTAAAACAAGATAAGAAAATTTGATTTTGGGTCAAATTACATGTTGACGAAGAACCCATCATCCCTAATATTATGACCCCCAAGAGTTGCATTATGCATTTTGAAAAATCCAAATATGGAAACAAAATAAATAAAATTGATCAGCATTGAAAATTAATCCCTACCTGTAATTTCTAACAGTGTGCTACCACTTTCCATGGCTTTTGTTACACCTGCACATTAGAACAATAGAAACATGACATGTATAATCAAAAGAAATCAAACCCATATAGTTTTTGCTACTATGAATTTCTTTTTTATACTAAGAGATTATGTCCTCAATTCATTATACAAGTTTGTCAAGATATTATGAATTTGCATAATAATTAAAAAGACATACTACCTCCTGTGCATTATATAGTGGCTAGGGATTAAATTTTATCTTAAATATAAGACTCCAATCTTCTAATCCTCTCTATCCCCAAACATAATTTTTTTTTCCAGAATATTTCGAATGATCATAAGGAATTCCCACCTCCAGAAGTAGTAATATTTATTAGTTATTACAAAGAAAACAATTTTAAAAAAGCTAACGCCAAACGCTATTCGTTTGTCCGATCTTTAAAACTATAGACAAAACTCAAGTTTCTCTGCTCTCGGGAGGCCAACCTAAAACTAGTGCCAAACAACAAATGATTAAGATAAAAAGAAACAACCGGTGATCTTCCTCTAATTTAAAAGAAGAAGAAGAAGAGATACAGAAACAAACAAGACATGAAACACAAAAAAAAAAAAAAAGATTAAAGACGAAAAGAAAATCAAAGATATCTATTTAGAAAAATAATATATTTCATTAGGCAGAGTAGTTCAGTATTTCAAAAGCACCATAAATAAAGTATGGTTCCTGCAAACTGGGGAGGCGTTAAAAAATGCTAGAAAGCAAAACCTAGCTAGAAGCGTTTGGGTCCAATTCTTTTGGCTAATCCATCCCTAAAAGGTTTCGTTATTCATTTCCATTTACTTCGAGAAAAGAGTTATCAAAGGCACCGATGAACTGAAAAACCATGTCGTGGAGTAACGTAAGGATTCGAGCAGGCTTAGGACTATCATTTTGATTCAATTCAAATCCTAAAGAAAAAACGAAGAGATTAGAAGCAATAACGAGTTCTAAACACAAGTGTGTACCTTTTTACGAAACTCAAGTTTATTTTCTTCAGAAATCTGGTAAAGATTACACAGAGAGACACAGTGCTTGTGAAACTTGGGAGCCATCGTTCCTCTTCTCTTCTGTGTTTATATACACACATCCACGCACTTGTATATATGATCCCGCGACTGCAGAAGTTTTTCCCCGTAACGAAACGTGTGCTTGGGTCACTAGTTATTTTCACGAACTATGGTTACGTTTGTCAGGGAGTATTGAAAATGAGGGATTGGGATTGAGATTACAATTGAAAAAATCTATTAAGAGAGTGTTTAGTATAAGAAATTGTTTGATATATGGGATTAGCCAAAGCCATGTATGTGGGATTGGAGAATACCATGGGGGAAGTGGTATTCTCCAATCCCACTTTTATGAGTTTGTCTAATCCCATATAACAAACAATTACTCATGCTAAGTATTATTTTAATGATTTTTTTCAATTGCAATCCCAATCCCAATCCCTCATTTCCAATGCTTCATACCAAACGGGACCTATGAGTATCTGTTTGTATTTTGGTGATATTGACTCCTCGTTTTGTCACATCATTCAATCCTCTACGCAAATTTACAACTACACATTTTATTTATTATTTTTAAAAATAAATCATTAAAATATAAAGCCTACATTATCTGAAATCCGAAATATAAAAGTTAGTTGGCTAACTTAAATAGATTAAGAAAATAAATTAAATTAGTTTTTTTGAGTAAAAATTAAATTAGTTATTTGTAATAAATAAGTATTGTCTTTCCTAAAATATCTTTACTAATCAAGTTTATTGGTTAGAACTATCATTATTAGAAGGATTACTTAGAAAAAAATGGATAAATATGAGAGATAAAGTGAATTAGGAGTCTTATATTTAAAACTAAAATAAAAGTCAAACAAGTTATTATATTAAAAATCAAAAGTAGTATTAAATAATAACAAAATTAAAAATTTATTAAATTTTTTTATAAAATTAGCACGATTTAATATTTTTTATTCTGATAAAACATATAAAAAAAATATTAGAAGTGGTTTATAAATAAAATTAGGAAAATAATTCTACTCTTAATGGCATATGAATTAACTTGTTTTTTATGTAAAAGAGCTTTTTATTTAATAAATTAATATTGAAATTTGAGCCAAATCGAGTGACGGAGAATGTTCCTAAATAAAATTTTCCATTATCTATATAATTTGTTCAATTTTCAAATACCATCCATATTTTGTTGTTTTGCCATAAGTTAACAATCTTTTGAAATTTAAAACTAATATATACTCTTCTTGTGTTATGTATTAAAAATTGTTTTAGAGATAGTGTATTCCTATTTATTAAAGATAATAATAGTTTGTTTAAATTTGCTAGTCTTACTTTCATTTTTATTTTTATTAAATATTGGTTAATTTTATTTTATTAATTTTCATTTGTTCATTCTCTTCTTTCCTCACCCTTCCTAAAAAAAATATTTTTTAAAAAAAATAAGTTGTTTATTTTTATGTATTCATTATTTTTAACTAGTACTTTCTATTTCCTTAATTTAGTTATTTATACTCCTTCCTAGGTGCTTCTAATGATTTTTATAATTAAGAAATAATTGTTAAGCCATTAAGTTTATTTTAACATTTTAAAATATTTGAATTTTTTTCCTATTGAAAGAAAAGAGAGAGAAACACAATATTTGATGAGTTATATAAAAGCACTCAATTAAAATCAAATTATTTTCTTTGGTAATTTATAATAAAATTAAAACTGGAAAATATTAATTACTCTTCTGATCTTATTTATAGAGTAGAGAAAGAAGATTTTTTTATCTTATTTATAAGTCATTTTATTAAATTTTTATTATAAATGTATCATATTGTCTTTCACTTATTATAACGTAGATAACTATTTTTTTAAAAAAGCATATATTAAATAAAAATAAAATTAAAAAATTATTATATTTTAATAAAAATTTAATACATTTTAAATTTTTTTTTAATTTATATGGAACATATTGAAAATGTTTTATAAATAAAATCATAAGAATAACAAACAATAATAAGAAGAAAAAAAACTGTTGTTATAAAAAGGATATGAAAAGGACAAAAAGGCCAGTATATTGATGAGGAAGTTTTGTCTTGTATGGTAAAGTGAGAGCATCGGAAATATAATAAGAGCATCAGACAGCCAGAGAAAGTGGAGGGAATGAGTATCAGTGCGATGCCTTGGAAAGACGTGGCTGGCTAGTGGCTATGCCTATGAGTGTCAGATCAGAGATAGGCCTTTAATGTCATGATTTGCAGAATCTTCCTTTCTCGGTAACTTCACGCCCCGTTTCTCCATTTTAGTACACCCTCCATGTTCTTCCTTTCTCAGCACTCCCTTTCTTTTTCTCTTATCTTTATTCCGTTTATTATAGGTTTATTCAGCTAATTCTTGTGCAAAAAAAAACTTGGAAACATATTTAGATAGAAACCAAACCATAATTTTAAAAGTGATTTTACGATTTATAAAATTAATATATAAAGAGATTTATCTTGTTTTATAAAAAAATATTTTTTGATAGTTGCCAAACACTCTTAATGTAAGTTGAGCTGAAAGTCTACTTTTTATTTTTTCTATTTGCTCTTTGGGATTTTTATTATAAGCTGGAAAAAAATAATTTAGGCTTAAAAAAATAATTAAAACTAGTAAATAGGTATAAAATAAGAAAAATCATAAAAAAGACTTTAGAAATAAAAAAAATTGTAAATAGGGATCTATTACAACATTAGTGTGCAAGTTTTTAATTTCTAGAGTCTTTTTTTTTGCTATTTTTCTATAAAATATACTTTTATTTTCATGGAAAAAACACTTTTCTTTTTACATATACTCTTATAATAAATAAAAAAATGTATGGGGAAATGTAGTAAAAAAGAGTGGGACAAAAAAGAAAGAATAAATAATTAAAAAATTAAAAAAATATATTAAATGTTGAAAACAAACTTAAATGAAGGCATGAAGCTTATGAAGAGTCCATTTGAAATCATGTTCATACGTATTTACACGTCATTCCAAATGGGTATAAAATAGATCACATTATTCTCGTTAAAACTTGCAAATATGATTAGAGAAAATACTATTTATAAGATATAATTTTTGGGATCGATTCTTTTTGCCAATAATTTTTGGAATTGATCATGTCTTGTTTTAGAAAATGGCTGAAATAACCTTCTTCTTCTGGTCCTTTTTACATCCTATGTCTAGGGTTGATGCTGCTTTTGCCTACTCAAATTATCCTAACATTGTCAGAGTACTTAAGCCGCGGTTAAACCACGTCAATGTCTATCATATTTTTTTTAACCTTCTAACTAAAAGAGTATTTGTCAGGCAAAAAAAAAAAAGCCTCAAAAACACTTTTTACTTTTAAAAAATATTTTAACACTGATACAAAATTTTTATTACTTCTCCGATCCTAAATACAAAATTTTTATTTTTAGAATAGGAAGAATATATATGTATCTCAAACCTTGTAAAATTACTTATAAAATCATGACGTGATTTTTACCCAAACACCTTTTAAATCTTTCTCCACTTACTCCCTCTACAAAATTGATTTATTAATTTTTTCATCCCCTAGATCAACAATACCAATTTTAGTTGCATAATATTTTTCAAAATTATACTTATCCAGTCCTAAATATAAAACCTCTTTCGTAGTGTAATATAAGTCCCTTTCATAGTGTAAATTACATAACAAAATGAGTCTTATATTTAGTACCGAAGGAGTACATTTTATATAGTTGATTTATTAAAAAAAAAGGGTTAAATCTATCAGCATGAATATTTAGTGAATAATTAGAAAACAAGAACTTAACAAGTTAATTTTATCTTATATGGGATAAGAGGGGTTTTTTTAAAAATAGTTAATATTATTATTAGTTCTTACAATTTTATTGGATTTTGATTTTATTTTCTATACTTTTAAATTGTAACTTTTAGTCCTTATACTCTTACATGCATTTGTCTGACTTCCATTAGATGTAGGGATTAAAATCAATATCAATACCAGTTAAAAGAGTATGAATCAAAACTTATTAAAAGTAGATAACATACACATTCTGGTCTTGTTCTGCACATCGTATTAACTCAAAACAAATCTTATGAGACTACGTGAACCAATGACAATATCTAAAACTTCAAAGATTAAAAACCAAAATTAGATCAAACCAATCCTGGTACTCTTCCGGTCCTTAATATAGGACTCAATTCTTGAATTAGTTTTAGTCCTAAATATAAGACCTATTTCTCATATTTATCAATTTTCTCTAAATTACCCCTATGAATAGTCTCTTAACCATAATCAAGTAGAAGAGAGAAATAGAGTATTAAGAAAGATGATTATGGTATTTTAGAAAAAAATATGTCATTTTTCTTATAATTAACTAACTTACCTAACTTCCTTAAGCTAATTAAATTAGTTAAATGGATCTTATATTAAGAACCGGAAGAGTATTATTTAAAATTAAAATTAAGAAAAAGGTTGTCTGCGGCTAGTGGTGTATCCTCCTCAACATGAATTTGAGGTTGATTAGCTACTTCCATAAGTCCATTTGAAAGCCAAAAATCAGATTGTGTAAACGTTAAACCGAACACTACTTTTTCTAAAAAGCCACCGTTTGCCATTTGGGTTGTGCGTTTTGGTGTCAAAGCATGGATACAAACACATCCTTAATGTAAGTTTAGCCGAAAGTCTAGCTTTTATTTTCTCTACTGTTCTTTCAGATTTTTATTATAAGCTGAAAAAATAATTTACATGTAAAAAAATCAATTAAAATTAGTAAATAGGTATAAAATATACTTTTGTTTTCATGGAATTTTTTTCCTTTTTTAAATATATCTTTATAATAAATGAGAAAAATAATTAAAAAAATATATGGAGAAATGTATTGAAAAAGGGTATCCTCAAGAAGAGAGAACAAATAATTTAAAAAATTAAAAAAATACATCAAATATTGTAAACAAACTTAAATAAAACTTATAAAGAATCTGTTTAAAATCACGTTCATAAGTACTTATACGTCATTCCAAACGAGTATAAAATAGATCACATCTTTCTTAAATTTGAAGCTTATAAATAAGATTAAAGGGAATACTATTTATAAGATATAATTTTTGGAATTGGTCATGTCTTGTCTTAGAAAATGGTTGAAATAACCTTCTTATTCATGTCCTTTTTACATCTCATGTCTAGGATTGATACTGCTTTTTTTTTTTTTTGGGGTGGATAAAGAGTGTAAACAGCTCAACACATCAGATCCCCTGGGACTTGCTAATCCCGCAGCGCCCTCGTGGAGGATATTAAGATTTAAGAATATCACCTGGTGGTGGATCCCACAGTACTCCATTCTCTTTCAAGGATATACTCAGCTTAGCTAGGCTATCATGCTGGAACTTCAGCTGCCAATCTTGTTGGGTTAGTTCTCGAATGTGTTTCGTTAGAATGGGGTCCCCTGCTCTTTCACTGATACTATTTATCCGCTTGATAGCGGTCTCTGCATCTGAGCTTTAGTCCTATTATTCCCGAGACCTCTGCTACTTCTGCTTGATGCAGCTTTTGTTTACTCAAATTATTCTATCATCCTCGGCGTGCTTAAACCACGTCAATGTCTATGACATTCTTTAACTTTCTAACTAAAGTACTTGGAATGCTTCGAGAACATTTTTTACCTTTAAAAGGTAATTTAACTCAGACAAAACTCTTATCATATACTTATCTCAAATCTTGTAAAATTATTTATAAAACAATGATGTGCTTTTTACCTAAACACCCTTAAATATTTCTCCACTTACTCCCTCTACAAAATTGATTTATTAATTTTTCCATTCCTTAAATCAACAATACCAATTTTAGTTGTATAGTTGATTTATTAAAAAAATTAAATCTATCAGCGTGAATATTTACCGAATAATTACGAAACAAAAACTTAATGAGTTAATTTTAAGGAAAATTGCAATAAGGTCCTGCATAAGACAATTAAATACAAAAATATTTCTTGAAATCATCAAATTATTTTGAAGTCCCAAGAAATTTCATTGCAAAAGATTTTATTTGTTTAATTACCAAGTTGTCCTTATTTTTTTAACTATGTATTGACACCTAAAAAAACAGTCGTTAACAGCTTAAGATGTAATGATTAACAACTATCGTAGCAGGTATTAACAATACATTTTCTCAGCACATCACAAAAATGTAATGCATGAGTTATTAATATCTTCTATAATAGTTGTTAATTATTATACTTTAAGTTGTTAACAACTGCTCTTTCAGTTATCAATGCATACTGAAAAAATAAGAGCAATTTGTTAATTAAACAAATAAAATCTCTTGCAATGAAGTCTCTTAGGACTTCAGAATAATTTGATAATTTCAATGGATCTTTTTGTATTTAATTGTCTTGGGTGGAACCTTATTGCAATTTTTTCTTAATTTTATCTTATATGGGATAAGAGGGATTTTTTTAAAAAAAAAAAGTTAATATTATTATTAGTCCTTACAATTTCATTAGATTTTGATTTTAGTTTCTTTACTTTTAAATAGTTGCTTTTAGTCCTTATAGTTTTGCATGAATTTGGTCCGACTTCCAGTAAATGTAGGGACTAAAATCAATATCAATCTCAGTTAAAAGTGTATGAAGAAAATCAAAACTTTTTAAAAGTAGATAACTGGTTTTTGTTCTTCATATGTTATTAACTCAACAAATCTTATGGGACTACGTGAAAAAATGGCACTGTCTGAAACTTCAAAGATTTAAAACCAAAATTAGATCAAACCAATCATAGTACTAACTCCGATCTTTAATATAAGAGCTTGTTTGATTATTATTTTGATCCTAAATATAAGACTCCAATCCACTTTATCTTTTATAGTTATCTATTTTTTCTAAGGTAGTCTTTATAATAATAGTAACTTTAACTAATGTACTTGACTAGTAATGATTTTAGGAAAGACAACACTTATTTATCATAAATAGCTAACTTAACTAGTTTTTTTAATCTACTCAAATTAATTAAACTAGCTTTTATATTAAGAAACGGAAATAATATTATTTAAAATTAAAATAAAAAACAAAAGGTTGTCCACGACTAGTGGTGTATCCTGCTGAACATGAATTTGAGGGGCGTGTAATGCGGCCATGCAGGCATTTTGCTATTTTGGCGCGAGAAATGGCGGTTTCTTCTTTACCACTTAATGGTGATCGGTTTGAATATTTGATTTCTTCTTTGGTAAACCCTATGATTTGAAATTAACCATTGGTTTTTGTTTCGTCCATCTCCTACAAGTTGGGTGCGCGAACATGATCCATCGATCGGCTTACGTCAAAACTCCTTCCTCTCTATTTCGTACCCTCTCCGTCTTCATGCTATTCCTTCTCCGACTCTCCTCCGCGCCGCATCCTATTGTTTGAAACATATTATAGGAGTCAAAAATGGATTTCGACGATGATTATTGCTTCGGCGGCGGGGAGGAGGAGGACGAGGCCTTGTACAGCGACGGTGGTAACGACGAGGATGATTACGATTTCATCGATAATGCTTCTGATAGTTCTGATGTTGCTCCCTTGAGTCGTCACCAGGTGGTGACTGCTTGTTCTCTTCTTATGTTTTGACTCTCAAATTTCCTTGGTTGTTATTGGAAACGAAGTTTAGGATTGATTTTTTTACTTTTGAAATACGGGGTACTGTAATTCTTTCCAAAATTGAAGCTTCGATGATTTAGCCGTGATTAATTGATCATTTTGATTCACGTAGTATTCCTTCAAAATCTTTCATTCATTCATTGGTAGCTATCAAGTTCGTTCTATCCAGATGTAGAGCTGGTTTTATATATGATATTAATATATGCCTTACAACTTTTGTATGAGGTAATAGCCAGAACGTGACGAGTATTTCTTTCCCCGTGCAAAAAGTATGGCTCCCCCATCGAACCCTACACTTGTCTTATCAATTATTCGAAAATTATACACTTATCATCTTTTAATTTAAAAATTCTCAGCAAATATATTAGGAGCTGTTAGCTGTATGTAACAACGTTTTGGCTAAATTATTAATTGCCTATGCCTAATAACTACATTTACATGCATGTTTTTAATCTGGACCTCCGTTTTACTGCAAACTAAGAGTTACTGTTTTATTCCCCCTCAGCAAAACTATACAGTCTTGAGTGAAAGCGACATTCGTCAACGCCAGGAGGATGAGATTATGAAGATATCCACTGTGCTATCCATTTCAAAGTTTGCAGCTCGTATACTGCTTCGTCACTATAATTGGTATAGTGATTGATGAACACACCCACATTTGCATATTTTGTTTGAATTTTGTATAATCAAATGCATGAACAAATATTTTGATGATACTTCATTTATTACTGCATTTCTTAAATGTGAAGTAAAATTATTTGCACATGGTCTATTATCAAGCAGAAAAATGTCGCGCCTTCATAATTCTATTGATATTGTGACATAGGTGTTCTAAAAGTTTTTTACTTGGTTTACTGACAGGAATGCTGGTAAAATACATGATGAATGGTTTGCAGATGAAAAGAAAGTTCGCAGTGCTCTTGGCTTGTTGGAGAAACCTCTTATGGAATATAAAGATTCTAGTGAGGTAATCATTACATACAGGGAACCTATGAATGTTTAATATGATACACTTCATGGAAAACCTTTACATAGATTAAAAATAAAAATAAGCGTGACCTTTCTCTAAAAGGCATTTTTATATTGGCAGATGACTTGTGGGATCTGTTTTGATACCTATCCTGGTGCTGAGATGCTTGATGCTGGTTGTGGCCATCCTTTTTGTAGCTCGTGTTGGGAAGGTTTGTCCAAATGCATCCTCGTGTTGTCGTTGTGCTAAGAAAATTAAACCTTTCTGCATTATTGCGTGCCTGGCATTGTGAACCTTCTGTAAGGATTGAGTTGAGAAAATACAAGTCAATGTTTTTTTTTTTTTTTTTTGGGGATAATGCAAGTCAATTTTGCTTCTTCCTATTAAGTGAGATTCATTTCTTTGCCTTCTTTATTGCCAGTTGTGGTTATCTTTTGATCAATATTTTTGAAGCATCATATACCCATGGCCTTCATTTTCAATTAAATCCGCATGTTTATGCAATAAAGCTTTCATCATTTCATCTTTGCATGATACTGGGTTTGATGACAAATGCTTATTGAGGAAAGCTCAGATTCTTGGCTTAGGGTGTTAATTGACCGAGCAACACAAGGATAGAATATGATAAAATCTGGTTCTCTGCGTGTGGTTTTCTTATGTGAATATCCCTGGTAGACATGCAGAGTTGTGATGGCTTTAATGAACTGATGAGTTTGTTTATATCTTTTTCGTTTTGTCTTTCTGTTGGCTCTGTTGTGGAGGAGTCCATGTCCTCGCATGATCCCATCCAGTGGCATCCCTTTTTCCCTTCCTTTAGAAAACTGCCTTTTCTTTAATTAACATTATTTTTGTTTTGGCAAGTAGTTTGTAACTTGTAAAGCCAATCATTTAATGGAATGTGCTGATCCAAGAGAAGTGCCTGTTTTCACCTAGATGGATACTGCCTTGTTTAAGAGGACTAGCAATAACCTTGCTTGTATACTTTATGGCTCGCCTTTTGGAAGTGGATTTTGGCGATTACACTTTCAACCATACTTAGTGGCTTGGAGTGTGCCCTTTGCGCTTTATTGAAAGAATTTCAACTCTGAATGTATCATTAATATCAGTCTTGAAATTAAAAGACCTTCCAGTTATAGAAGAAAACTGTGGTAATTAGCAAGAAAATTGAAACTAGGTGCATATCAGGCACCACTTTTCTGGAGTGATGCATGACAGGTTCCACATTTCTAGCACCTGTCATATATTGGGCCCAACTGTTATCCCTAGTTTTTCCTTCAACCACCATTTATCATGAATATCATCTTTAAAATATGATTATAGTTTAAATAGTGGCTAATTTATATAGATCTATATATTCGTAACATTTGCAAATATTAAAGTGGTTACTCCATAGAATATTAGTTTTGAAGTGGGCATCGGATGTGGAGACTAAGACAGTATGAGATGCCTAATTCCAACTATATGTATAATGAGATTAACTGCGGGTATCTAAGTGGGTTAGTTCTCCTACCTCTATGTTTAACAAGTGGTTATTTAATGAGGAAACTTATAAGGACTAGTTCTCACTAACTAATAACAACTAATACTATCACTTCTCAGCCCTTATCTACTCATGTCCGGATTACGATTGTGTAACAGAATCTTGGATAAGGAAAACATTGTATGTGCTCTGCCTGTGCTAATCATATGGTCCCGTTCAAGCACCATTCTAGCTGAGCGGCGCTTTATAGGCACGTAGCTAGTTGGAATTTTCCATAATTATCACATATTTTTATTTGGTGAGTTTTTCTTTCTCTTTTTTTTTTTATTGCAATATCTTTATCTTTATGATTGTTTGTGATATCTTGCAAATTTCTTATGTTTCTTGCATTTTCATATATGAAAAATTGAAACTTCCTTTAAATAAAAAAAAGAAAAAGAAAAAGAAAAGCCTCTCAATTTGCCATTGTCGTTCAGACAACTTCTTTTTTGTTTGGGATATCTTGCATTAGAAATCTCATTTCAAGGCATCCGCTTGAGTCATTCCAATTTTATATATTTTTTCTTTGTAGGCTATGTCAGTGTAGCCATCAACGGCGGTCCTGGATGTTTGTCATTGCGGTGTCCCGATCCATCATGTGGTGCTGCTGTTGGTGAAGATGTTATCAATTTATTGGCTTCTGATGAAGAGAAGGAGAAGTACTCTGCTTATTTTATCAGGTCTTATATTGAGGACAACAAAAAGGTAATTCTATGTTGGAAATTTAATGCGATATTCACTGGTATACGTTTCCAAGATCTTTTTCATCTGTTTTACTTGTCACTGAGGCATTATCTTTTAATATCTCAAATTTATATGACTGTGATTCATAATCATACATCATACCTGCACAGTGAAGATAATTAGGACTTGGGCTATCATGTTATGCCTTCAGTATTAGTTCGTATAAATGGCTTCACTACATCTTGAAGATGATGTTGTTATATTCATTGCAGTCATTTGTGGATTTGGACGCATTATTTTCAAGAGATTTATTATAAAAGGCATGACTCCAATGGTAGCATCAATGGTACTGAATGATCTCTGTATTTTTGGAAGGGAGAGGGGACTGGAGAGGATTATGATTCCTCTTGGGAATTGTTTAACCTAGTATTAAATGAGTTCTGTATCTGCTTAGGAAAGTGAATTTGAAACTGGTAATATTAAGTAGAGTTTTGATTAATTAATTTCCTGAAGCGGTATTTTAAATAGATTTACATGTATTTTCATTGATAACATTCTAGACCAAATGGTGCCCTGCTCCTGGATGTGATTTTGCTGTGGACTTTGCTTCTGGTAGTGGAAGCTATGATGTTACGTGCAAGTGCTCATGCAGTTTTTGCTGGAATGTAAGTCAATGGAGGCCATGATGTTTAACCTGCTTAAATGCATATTTTCTTGTTCTTTTTTACCTTGGCAGTTGGCTCTTCATGTCTCAATTTGACCTTGCAGTGCACTGAAGAAGCACATAGGCCTGTTGATTGTGATACTGTCGCCAAATGGATATTGAAGAACAGTGCTGAATCTGAAAATATGAATTGGTATGCGTCTTTGCTCTCTCTCTCGCTCTCTCTCTCTCGCTCACGTGCGCGCATGCACATGTCACGCTAGGTGGGAAAAAGATGTCACAAACAAGTCAACCTCGATGATTCATGCTTGTTACCGAGAATATGATCTGGTTTCTACTTGTTAACACTGGTTTTTGAATTATTATATACTACCTCTGGTCCTTAATATAAAAGCTCATTTAATTTTTTTTGGTCTTAAATATAAAACCCTAATCCACTTTGTCTCCCATACTTATCCATTTTTTCCCAAGATAGGCCTTGTGATAATGATACTTCTAGCTAATATACTTTATTAACAAAGATATTTTAGGAAAGAGATCATTTATTTATTACAAATAACTAACTTAACTAATTTTTTAATCTACTCAAATTAATCAACTAGTTCTTACATTTAGAACTGAAGGTAGTACCTTTAACTATTACTGTCCCTGTTTGTATTAATGTATTCTTCACTCGATTCAGTTGAGGCTTGTAGTATTTGGCTCCTGGATGATTTGATTGAACATAGACTGAGATATTGTTCCTATTATATTTTCCCCATCCTTTTCTGTCTCCTTTAACCCCCCGTCTTTTCTTACAAATGCTTTTGTTATTTTTCATAACCTGGAAGAATTTCTTTTATGAATCCTTTGCAAGAGCCCCTTCAGGCTCGCGGATAAAACGTAATCACGTCATGCCTTGTGCAAATTAAGTTTAGTGAAGATTTAAGAGAATGTGGGTAACATGAATTGAACTTCGGACCACTTGTTCATAGAGACTCTATTATGTAAGGTTCAAGGGTATATTCATTACAATCTCTTAACAATTTTGATTGTTGATGGTTGATAATGGTTATTCGGTCACCACGCCTGAATTTAGATTCCTGGCATCGCTGAACTATTTGCCTACGTGGATTTCAGGATATTGGCCAATTCGAAACCTTGTCCAAGCTGCAAACGGCCAATTGAGAAAAACCAAGGCTGTATGCATATGACTTGCACACCACCCTGCAAGTATGAGTTTTGCTGGTTAGTCTACATCTGCACTTCTTCATAAATGTCACTTTTAGGTGTCAAGTATAGTTATATAGATCATATGTAATAAATGATGACGACTCTCGTGGGTCAAAAAAGTTTAATCCTAGTCTTTATTAAATATAAAAAATGAAAATAAAAGTAAAAATTAGCATTGGACAAAAGGGCGAAAGAAATGAAGATTTCTAACAATATTCTTTTTGCTGTCATGGCTGCATTGCCACTCCCTCTGTGCCATTCTCCTGCCAAAACTACTATACCAGTGCGTGGCTTGCTGTCTGCTGTTATTACTCATCAACACTCGTGGGCTGGCCAAGGGGCAATGACCATGGCCGATTGCCTTGCTCTTGTCATAATCTCCATTTTTATTATTTATACAAAATGAATCTCTCATCTGAATTTTTTTAATTGCCTAAATCTTTCTAGTTATATCAACCTTGAAATTAAGTACTCGGCAGGCACTAAATTTTCAGCAGTCACTCCATATTCGTGTCTTGTCATAAATCTGGTCTTGCGCGAGCGTGGTGTTGTTATTTTACCAATACAACTTTACTGGATGTTTTTTTTGTTTCTTCGATCTCCAGTTATGGTTTTTTAATTCCTCTTCTAGTCTGAGTTTTCCATTGATGAAGCACTAATTGACTCTTCATAATATTCTCTGCCGGTGGAAAGAGATCTGAAAAATAGAAGGACGGTGGTTTAAAGCTTTGTTCAGTTCATCTCAGTGAAGTTGATTACCTGTGTTTGCAGGCTTTGCCTTGGTCCATGGTCTGAGCATGGTGAGACGACAGGTGGTTTTTATGCATGTAATCGTTATGAAGAAGCAAAAGCAGATAAAGAGGTATATAGCAAATTCAGAATAGTTTGACAATGACGCCGGAACTGATGTTGTTTATTAAATTAATGCTGTGATTTCCAGTTTCAAGAGGCAGAACAGCAGAGAGAGATAATCAAGAACTCTCTTGAAAGATATTATCACTATTATGAAAGATGGGCAACCAATCAATCAGTATGTGCTAGTTGCTTTATTTTAAAAAAAAAAAAAAATTGTACCAGTTTCCTGTGTCATTAACTCGGAGAAGGCGTGAAGAGTTGCAGGTTGCAGTTGATTGTGAGATATAATAGATGCTTTCTGTTAGTTTCTTATGCCTGCTTGATGCACTTAGTGTATGCTTTATTGATTGCAGTCCAGACATAAAGCTCTTGCAGACCTAGAGCAAATGCAAACTGTGCACGTAAGCTATCTTCTTATCGTGGTTGTTTGTTGCACTGCCAATGGTACTGTTATGCTTACAGGGTGATCTCTAACGAGAAACTCAAGTATGTGGTGGACTTTAGTGATCATGAATAGTCTAGTTTGTTAAAGAATTTTTGCGAATTGATTGCTGCAATATAAAACACTCCAGTAGCTTATGTAGTGTTTCTGGCACAGATTTTTCATAGATTTAATTTAGCTCAATCAAAGATCTAGACTCTTGTACAAATTGTGCAATGGTCATCCAATAAAACAATGATACCCTATGGCTATCTTGAATTTTTAATTCCAATGATTTTATGTTTCGAATATGCTGCTGCTGGTTGGGAAGTACTTCAGGTATGAGTAGAATGCGATCAAACCCATTTAACTATGTAAAATCTGTACAGAACCCGGGCCAACTTGTTGATAGAAACATCTTCAGAAATTTCTTTTGAGATCTGGAGATTTGGTGGGTGTTTGACAGAGAGTAGTATTGAAGCCAAAGGAATAACAAAGTGGAAAATTTTAAAACTATATTCAATCAGTTTCGATGATGAAAAAAAGGTGACTATACCAATGACTAGGCAACCAATATGTAACCATACAGGCTGCAAGAGTTCAACACAACTAAATCCCTCAAACCAATAAAGTAAATGATTATGCAGGACGTGGATAATTGATGTCCAAACGACCAAAAATAAAACTCCGAATAGAAATGTGACAATCTTTTCTGCTTTAGTAAATTTAGAACTACTCTAATGATTTTCTATTGCTGCAGCTTGAGAAGCTCAGTGACCTGCAGTGTCAGCCAGAATCACAGCTAAAATTCATCACAGAGGCCTGGTTACAGGTATGTTTGTAACTATTAAAGGGATGAAAATGTAATGTTATCTCTTAGTAAACAAATTTTGTATGCAGATCGTTGAATGCAGACGTGTTTTGAAATGGACATATGCCTATGGCTACTATATACCTGAGAAGGAGAAAGCAAAGAGAGAGTTTTTTGAATACTTGCAAGGTATGCTCTTACCTTAAGGACATTACACGGAAACCCCTTTTCTGAGTTTATGGATTCTCATTTCCTTGAGCCAATCATGCATGTCCCACAAAGACAACAGACTATAAAGCAAGCTTCTTTAAATATTTTACATTAATAATCTTCTTGTTCAATAACTGTTGGTAGTAGCTGGTGGAAATCACTACCAGAATTTTTTGAGTTTAAGCAATGGCAATGAATTGAAATGACTATTCTCGTTTCTATAATAATTTTTCCAAACTAGGAATTATCAGATTTCATGGATGCAGATATTTGGCTAAATTTAAATCTTGTTGATGTAGTGTTTTGAAGCTTTGATATTTAAACAAAAGATAAATTAGCATGGCCGCTGTTTTAGACACTTGTATTTTTGAATTAATTCTAGATATAGAAAACAACTCAGTAATTCAAAAGCAAGCTGCTATCATGTCTTCTGGCCTCAAAATCTGTTTTGTGCAGGTGAAGCAGAGGCTGGATTGGAACGACTTCATCAGTGCGCTGAGAAGGAACTGGAGGTATATCTCACGGAAAAGAATCCAGAAAGAGATTTTAACTGTTTCCGCACTAAACTTTCTGGACTAACCAGGTGAGGCTTTAGTGCAGTAATGGAATTGCGTTGTTTGATTTAACTTCAAAGCCCGAAGTTGTATGCTAAAGGATTGGACTATACTCCAGAATAGTTGGGCATTGCAAGTAGCATAGTTACAGAAGCCTTATTGCATAACTAAATGACTGTAGAGAATCCAATTTACCATATCCTAATCTTGTGATTTACTGGGTATAATGCAACAAATGCAGCGTGACAAGGACTTTCTTTGAGAATTTAGTAAAAGCTTTGGAGAACGGTTTATCAGACGTGAACTCTCATGTTCCAACCAGCAGAAGTGCAAGCTCAAAGAGCTTAGGAAGGAGCTACAGTGGGAAAAAGGGGAGGGACGAGCCTATAACGCCCAGATCAAATTATTCTGGAATTGGTGGATGAAGATGGGAACTGGAAATGTATAATAATGTACAGGGTGTGTGTATTGCCGGCAACCTGAGGGAGAAGCTTGAGTTGATGGAGAGGATTTTGACTTGCTTCTCATGCTGAGGTCTCGCGAAAGGCTGAAGGATTTTGGTTGCCAGCGTTAATTTTAGCCCTCTATTTTCACCTCACGCGTTAACCTCAAAAGGTTTAACTCTCAACGGGGCCTATTCTTGGAAAGTTAGAAGGTGAAATGCAGGAAGGCATTTGATTTCTTAATAAGAGGAATTTGAGACGCACCATGGTCCTTTCGTTCGGTTTAAGTATTTTCTTCTTCAAGTCTTTCTATTTTGATCACGAGAGACTCAGGATCGATGTTATATGCCTCAACATCAGATTCCCGTGCCACTTTTAGGTAGTTTTCACAGTAAAATTGAAGCTGGCTAGTTCATTTTGCACAGTTGATGGTTGCCACATTAATCTGCATTCTTTTGTGAAAAGTGAAATATAGATCATCAACATCAAGCTTCTGTTATTACTTTCCTGCTCACCTGATTTTAGTCCAAATTATGATTCTTCTATTACAATTGAATCTTCCTATATTTATATATCCGGCGAAGTGACATGATAATGTGATTATGTATAGACTAACATTATCTTTGCATTCAACATCTCTCTCTCTAAATTTATTGTGTATTCGCCTTTATGAAAAAAATTTGGATTAGATTTATTACTGCATGTCAAAGTCAACACCACTGTTCAGTTATCGTTTCGATTAACGGATATCTTCCCCAGAATAATACACCAGGACGGCAAAAGTTGAGAAGGTTATCTGTGCAACAGCTGAAGGTCACAAACCTACTATGTTCAATTCTAGGAAGTTAGACAGGAGGGATCAATTAAAAATAGCCACAATCTAAAATATAAAACTTGATTAATTGAAATGACTGAAGGGTCTAGGGACATTCATTCAGTTTACTTTATATTCGTGTAATAAGTTTATCTAAGAACTGCTCGAGATTAATGGAGGCTTGTATCGTATCAACTGACGTGGCAAGTCATGGGGGATCAACTGCAAATAGCCACTTTCTAACCTGATAAACTAAGTTGGAATTACAAAAAGGTTTGGGGAAAAACCCATTTACTCAGTTTCTATTGGTTTCCTGTACCTATTTTTAGCGCAAGAGGTGCACCTATGAGCTCTTTCAGATTCAGTCTTCACAATGCAGGCCTGTAAGATACCGATCCGTGCAAATCCACAATAAGTGTGCACTGCATCAAACGAATAATTGATATTGCTGAAACTGTACTAAGCAAAGTGTCCAGCCCTCAACCCAACGGATCAGTTCAAATTAATTTTAACAGCAACCACGAGAGTTTATCCTCTGACGTCATAAGCCACAGTTCAAAATATGCAGGGCTTGGTCCAGTTGGGTAACTGTGAACATTTTGGGTCATTCTCATTGGATCCCTCTGGTTCCACAGATAGCAAACGCCAACAAGATGGGAACTGAGAGCCCATAACCCAGGAAATGGAGAATTGGATTCATCTCATAGGCTTTCATCAGACTTCTGCAATTCTGCAGGGGAATAACGAAGAAATTTATCAAACAAAATAAAGTGGAGAAAGCCAATGAGCTAGAAGCTCAGATGATACCATTAAATTGACACGTTTCATGTCAAGGGATCAAATTGCTAGTACTAATTAGTAGGAATAAAAAAGGGGGGAAAGAAATCGTCAAGTAAAATTGCTAGAAATCCTGACAGCAATCCTCACTCTAATCCCCGGTGATAGCAGATGTTAGCTCATTGTTGAGACTGAAATGCAAAACATGTAAGATCTTCTCTACTTTTGGAAAATTACAACGATGAAGAAGATTATTCATGAAACTAATTATATAGGGATGCGACTGTCATTCATGTTTAAAGGACGTTCATTTATCTATTTTAGTGCAAAATGTTCTTTAATAGTTTATCTTTTGGCTCCTGGGTGATATTCTATTATATGATATACACCTTTGCACATCACAATGCCAACTATCTATTAAAAAAGCCTTACCATAAAATGCTTCCAACATATTGCCAAGCATATCAAACAGAGAATCGTCCGAATTGGTCGCTTGCCTAAACAGAAATTTGAAAGTCTGCTTCTCTGTTCATCATTTGATACAGTTCTTTGAATCTTTGGATCATGATCGTCCACTTTCTTCCCTGAACGTGATAACATATGTTCCCGATAAATCCCTCTTTCTGCAGTCAGAGCTGCGGAGACCAAAATTGTTGGAAATAGCACGAAGAATAGATGAGGAAGAACAATCATCATAATATCTGGAGATCCAATATAATCATGATTCCATATTTCATTGGGATTCTTCACAACCCAACCCATGTAGGTCATGTATCCCCTGTTGTTCCCTTCTGTAAATACTTGACCAATAAACCAGGGGAATAATATGAGATAAAATAAGTATCCAATAAAACCAAACCATAATGTGCGAACCCTCCTGAACTCCTGAACCCATAATACACCATTGCCGAGACCTCTGGTGGCAATGAAGTTCCTGTACGTGTAAAGCTTCTTTTGAAAAATAAGTAGAATGATTGGAAGAAGAAGAAGAAAGAACAGAAGAATGTAGGAAGACCAGAACATTGGATAATACAAGGCAGGCCATTGACAACCCATAACAAAAAACTCCTTCCAGCTCCAAGAAAGCTTGACACTATGACCGTTAATAGAAAATGGCCTTAATTCAGTCAAAGTTGATCTGTTCATGATGTCAGTTGCTTCAATTTGAAGCCAATATCTATGAGGAGATGCATCCTCAAAGGCTTGGTAATTCCATGGAGCAACATAGAGGACTCCCCTAGAGGTCTCATTAGCATGTCTGATCATATGTGCTTCCAAAACTAAATCAAGATTCCCATATCTAGAGTCATAGACCCTAGCCACAACTGAGACGATTGGAGAAATGGAAAAGACCAGAGCTCTTATTGATTCAAAAGATGAAGCGGTGACAGATTGACATTCATACTTGTGATGGAACAAAGATGTCAACATGATGCGTGAATCTAGAGGGAAAGTTGGCAAGATAATTGTCTTTTTGGTCCCTGCTTTGAAATCAACATCAACAAATGATACATGGCCACTATCAATAGACAAAATTCGCATGAATCGTCTCTTTCTCCAATCACCCATCTCCCACTCCCAAAATTCTTGGATTGGTGGGGGCCCAATTGAACAGTTCACATTACTTTCAAATGATATTTGGTGCACGTTAAACTGAAAAAACTTCTGGAGGGATGAAAAATGAGGGCTCAACTGATGGTGTCGCTTTAAATTCTTACCAAATCTACTATGGAGATGCCCGCACAGGTAAGCTGATATTGAATGCTTAAGGAAAACATCTTCCAAGGTCCTTCCAGAACCTGATGGTGCGGAGAATGAAAGTGGAAAATGCCCAAAGGAAATCTTGGAAACCGGTTTTTCTGACTGAGAGTCCCAATGTGAGAGCTGCAAATCTAGATCACTCAGCAATTCATCAGTGGGATGCCCAAAAAGATTAGTTGGACCTCGTAAACCAACTGACATAGTGCTGTCGAGCCCAACAAAGAGATGTCTACGCTCCTGAGTCTGTATGATGGAACACACGTGCATGAGTAAGTAAAAGCTTCATATTATCAAGCAATATAACTGTAGGAACAGAGATGGGTGCACCTCTGAATACTATTGCTTGCTTCAGAAAGTTACATGAGGTTAAAATATATAGACAAGAGACGTAGGTAGTCACTGAAAAATAAAGTAAACCTAATCCTAGTATCTAAATTTATCTTATCATATCTAACCTAGATATCTTAGATATATAAGATATGTACACAATTAAATAATAATAAACAACATAATCAGTAGAGTTTTTCACTAATTGCTAGTGGGCCTAATTGGGCCTGGGTCCATGACTCAACAACAACACATCATCTTACAGAGCTACAACTGGTGAACTCCTAATTTTCTAGTCCAAAAGAAAAGGAATTCAAGCTGAGTTTTTCCAGCAGAGTTTTCTGGGGTTCAGATTGTTTCTTTTCTAGCAACCCCAATTTTAGTATATAGAATGATTCAATGCTCTGTCTGCAACATGAGCATTGGACTATCAAAACTTTTTGAATTCCAGATAGAACATTGGATAATTCTAGCCATGGTGTGAAAACGAAGTTATTATAAAATATTTTAAAGTCAATACCTTTCGCATCAAAAATAGAATAAACCTTGGCATGAAAATGAATGACAGTCTCTCAGTTGTATCCGTATATAATTCTAGATAACCCTCCTATGGGTAGATTTTTGTCATACAATTGTTATTAGGAACTAGGAAATTTCACAGAATGAAGACTGGAGTGAATCTCTAACCTCAACAGTAACGCTAGTGATTCTCCCACTGCGGCCTAACTGCCCATTGATGCTGTATTTGGAAAAGAAATCAGATGAACCACCAACGACTGGAACACCGAAACTATCATGATTGCCTCTAAGGTCAAAGAAAACCTCCTTATTGAGTCCACTCCTTTTGATAACATCTTCCATTACATTCTGGTATTCTTTCCATTCATCCTCATTTTGCTTCATTGTCAGCAAATCCTTGCTTTTTCCATCTGAGGAGCAGAAAAAGATACAAACAATCGTAAAATCACAAATGCATGAACTCCTTCAAATCTTAACTCTTACGCCAAGCAAAATCAACAATTAACACAAGTCTCATTCTAAAACCAAATAAACATCAAAAACTTCAAATCCAGATTAACAAAAGGAACCTGTGAGGTCGCCGGTGACGAGGACGAGTGAAGGATTGATCATGGAAAGAGCAGGACCGACGAAATTGCGAAAGTCGAGGGCTCTATCGGGATGGTGGATGCTGAAATGAAGATCGGAGAGCTGAACCACCCAAACCACAGAATCAGGGCCTCCTTTGGCCCAAATGACTCTCTTCGTTTGTTCTTCTTCATTGCCACTGGTAGTGGAAGAAGACGAAGCTACTGAGAAGATGAGAAGAACGAGGATAGCATGAACAACAACGCTCATTCCTTCCTATACGCTCTTGCCAATTGCCAGTCTGAGCTATGACAACTCCAATTAAAATCAAACTAATTTTGACGAAGGGATTGTCGATGTCAATTGTTAATTCCGTGAAAACGGAAAAAAAGGTCGGGGAAAGAATAGAAGCAAAAGAGCGGAGTAGTTTGAGCTCTGTGGCTTGGCCCGGTGGTTAGAAAGGGTGCCTAAGGTGTGCAAAGGTGTGCACTCGCCTCCAGGTTTCGGTTTCAACATCTCACCCCACTTTTCTGGGTAAACTCTGGATTAGTCGGTTTTTTTGGGGGTTGGATACCGGGAGAGTTATAACCTAATTAAAAAAAAAAAGAGTGGAGTAGTTTTCAAAAATTTAAAAAAATTAATCAAGTTAATTATTTATAATAAAGAGATTTTTTTTTTTACAAATATTTTTTTATTCATATTTAAAAAACTCTTGAGCATGCATAATTAATAAGATAATTTGATAAAATAATTACAATTTTACGAGACAAAGTAAATTGAAATTTAAAATTTAAAATTGTGACAAACCCATCAACTAGTGTTGCTGCTGTGCAATTCATATCTTGAGTTTTATATAAACTACAGTCTCAATTAAAATTATACTTCTCCGATCCTTAATATAGAACCTAATTATTAAATTGATTTAGGTCATAAATATAAGACTTATTTCTCATATTTATCAATTTTTTTTAAATTATCCCTATGATACTTCCTTAAATATAATCAAGTAGAAAAATGAAAGAAGATATTAAGGAAGATAATTATAATATTTTATGAAAAACATATCATATTTCTTATAATTAACTAACTTTCTTAATTTAATCAAATTAGTTAAATAAGTCTTATATTAAGACCAGAAGAGTAATATATCTTTTGATGTACAAAAATTCATAATATCTCTGGAAAACAAAACAAAAATACTATCATTGAAGGTCAAAAAAAAGATTGTAATATTATTTCTTAGTTTACTACATTGAACCAATAAAATCGCATGAATCTGGCAGTTAGGGTAGAAGAGAACACTAATATGAAATAAAAAGGGTAGAACAGAAGAAAAGTGCTTTCAAATTTATTAATTATATTGCTTTTATGTAGCAATTATTACTTAATAAAAATAAGAATAAAACATTGGTTTTAAGAAAACAATTACTAATGATCATATTACCCCTCTTCATTTTTTTGCCTACAATTTCATCGTTGGAATTAAACGTTTCTTTTCTCATTCTCAGACAAATTAATCTACTTCGGTACAATTATTTTAGTTTTATACTACCTCCCATTCTAAATATGGTGCAACTTGAACTATATTTAGGACGGGAGGTAGTACATTTCTACCTCTATCCGTTCCCACATCAACAAGTTCCGAGTATCAAATGTTTCTCAAGATCCCGTTGACGAATGTGATCCTGAGGTTATTATGACATATTTAGATTAACAAATCTCCAAACAGTCATAAATACCAACAGGATTGAAAGCTTATCAAAGTAAACTAATACTGACATGTTATAGAAACAAGTTGCTGGTTTCTTTCAAACCATGTCACAAAGAATATACATCCAAAGCACAACATTTGGCGGTTCCCATAGAAAGCTTGTTTCCTCTTGAGGACAACACAAGATATTACTAATAAATTTGAAAATTTATTTGTCATTATTGCCTTAAATCAAGACTGATTCTGAAGATCATGGAAAGACATGGAGTTTCACCAATAATCATGATTTTATAACTTCACCTTCTCACCATAAGTTTATTTTGGGACTTGCTGGCAGTGAAATGTCACCTGCAATGTCTGATAGAAGACAGCCACTGTACCCTCAGTCTGTTATTATACATTAGTATTGGTAACGGAATCGCCCTTTACCCCCCAAAAACAAGTCAGAAAGAGGCTCTTAAATCACAGAGCGGTGGTAGGGCCTAAACTAAAATTCCATATCTACTTCAGAGAAGATAGTGAAGATGCGACGTTTCGAGATATACGATCGTGCATTGGTTCCTGCAAGGAAAAGTGTAAGTTACACGCTCCGATTGAATTCATGCTATGATATACTTAAAATAATGGTTTATGGATTACCTCTGATGAAGATGCATCAAATTTTGAATGTGTTATTGTCTCGTACAAGAATATGTATCTGCACAAACAAACAAAAAATACCCACTTATATGCCACAGTATATTTGCATTAATTTTTTTGATTTAGGGAGGCAAAGGTTACAGGTACAATTAACCCCATGACCTTCCAACTTATAGTAAGAACTTTCATGCTATTAGGCTACAAGGCTATTGGCAATATATTTGCATTAATACCAGCATTTATCAAACCAATCATCCAAAAGAGGGGGGGAAAAACCAAGTACCAGCACTTATCAAACCAGTTATCCAAAAGAGGGGGGCAAAAAACTAAGTATCAGGGGTTATATTTTTTTAATACTCGCTTTCTCAAAACAAAAAATAGCTAGTGTAAAAGGAGTAAGCACTACACATACCGCCAAGCTAATTCACAAACAAGATCTTCAGGTGCATCAGGAAGGACCTAAAGAAAAAAATCCACCAATAGTAAGTTTTGAATGAATGTTTAAAGTCTATATTCTGATTGAATAGCACTACACAGCGTAAATTACCTCATCTTCATAGGGGTTGCAGTGACTTTTGAACCACAATCTTAAAAACTCCTACACATAAATTATATGAACATCAAAAAATTGCTTCCTACATGTAATTAATCCATATAGAGCAAAGGTTTCACGAATAGACTTTAGATGATACATTCACAAAAGCTTGAAATCGATTATAAGAGCGTGAAGAGGACCAGAGAAATCAAGCAACGATAATGTAGCATGAAGCACCTTATCAACATTCTCAGGCTCAAGACCATTTTGAAAGCGTTCCATGTAAGAGTTGGCAATCCAGTATCTACTCGAGTCAGGAGTATGCACCTAGATATGCAATGAAACTACTTTATCAGGCATTGATAAGCTAACGTGTGAGTGCATGATAACATTGGATGTGTTTCAAGGAAAAAAATTAAACCTCATCAATCAAAAGAATTGAACCATCATTTGCCTTCCCAAATTCATACTTAGTGTCCACCAATATGAGGCCATGTTCCAAAGCTACATGCTGCAAAGTAAAGCAAATGAAGTAAACAGGAATGAAAAACGGGCAGAAAGATATTGATGTGTGTGTGTGGGGGGGGGGGAGGGAGAGAGAGAGCAAACACGTTGAAGTTTCAATGGATTGATGCACTCACATACTTATGCGAGCATATGATCAAGCTGTCGTCACTTTGTCAGTGATAATATATAAAAATTTGTCTCTTTATGATATGAAAAGTGGAATTTACGCAGGCAGAAGATATCAGTGGAAATAAATGGAGATGCATAATTACCTGACCATACTCAAACAAACTTAACGCTTTCCTGCTTACTTCTTCGTAGTCAGCTTGGGTCATGAGTCCACTTCTAACAATCTGCCAGGGAAATGCATCATAAAATAAGTACGAGAATATTGAAAGATATTATCCAATTGTTGGAAATCCAACAAAAACAATCAATGTGTGTAACAGCATGTGTTTGATGTTTATCATTTATAAGCACTGCATCATTAAATATTTTCTTTTAGAGCTAAATCATCAATTTAGCCGTGGAATCACCAGGGATTACTACGTTAACCATCCAAGCCAAATTGTATATTGTTAGATGACTACGAATGCTGGTTAGAATTGTTAGATATCATTCAATAAATTTTTCATGATATGATTGCATAAGCCCTCATGCGCTAAAGTCTAAACTCAAATCTTGGCCTAATTTGTAGCATCATATGGCTACTTTACTCCACAAGGAAAATGAACTGAACAGTTAATCTAGTAGCAATTGTGGTCAGTCACTGCGATCAGTGCCACCCACTGGCAGCCATCTTTGATTTCCAATCAAGCTACCTAGTCCCTCCTTCCAAAGTCGGCCCCTAATCAAGACCTTATCTCTCGAGTCACAGAACAGGTTTATAAGCAAAGTACTCTATCCATTCTGTCAAATAGATATTAGCATAATTATAATAAGTCTTGGTTGACATTTTTGAAGGCATATATCACAAAAATAATATAAATTCATCCTAAAGGAAAACTAGATTAATGATTGTGCCAAGGATAATCCTAATCCAAGACAATATCAGAAAAATAACCCCCATCATGTATCATTCATTCATTTTAAGTTAGAAGTTTAATATCCAAATGCAGAGAAGCTTCATAAATTCCCAAACTACTGCCTCCCTTCCCTTCCTAACCTTGGTCCTGCTCTCTCCATCCTTCTCTTTTGCTTGTGAAGCTCATTTATTATCAACAAGATAGTCAGGATTATATTATACGCGTCATACCTCATCAGGAGTGATAGGCACGTCATGATCTGCAGCCTTGGTTGTTGGCGTGATTATATTTTCAGACAGCCTTTGATTTTTGGCCAATCCTGTAATGTGTTACTAGGATATAAACTAAAAAGTACAACTTTAAAAAGAAACCCAAAACGCAAAGATTGAAAGAAAATCCACCATCTGGGAGAACATTGCCACAATATTCTCGGATGCCTTTATTGTAGACTGTCCATAGAGATGTATCAGTACTTCCAGTCACGTATCCTCTAACTGCAAAACAGCAACACTAATCTAAATCAACGGCCATTTGAACCCCCATCGCATTTCTCAGAACATTTAAATAATGAAAACATGTAAAACGAGATGAATAACAATAAAACATAAAGAAGCACAACATGCGTATCTCTAGCTCAAATACATTGTATCCATCACAAAACCGTGAACAGCAGATACTCGTATCTTTGTCCTGATCTTTTTCTAATATATCTGCATTGCTCTTCTAGAATAACAAAACCAGAGCAACTCTGTCAAAGCCTTTCAAAAGGTCATAATATGTGTAATGAGACTGTATGTAACAAAGAAAATACTGACCATTGTTTTGTTGCATAAAAGGTGAAAACAATTTCTTTCAGGATACTGAACTCCAAACCAAAGTTGGGCAAAAGTCAATCAAAGAAAATGAAACGGCATCAAGCAAGATGTTAAATAGACAAACGGCAAATCACTCACCAACAAATTCAACAGGGAACACCGAACATTTTCTTGCAATGGTAACATTTTTATCAGGAGCTGATACAACAGCATTGGAAGTTATGTGCTTAGTTTTCTCAAACCACCACAGGCTTGTCTCGTTAAGAACCTGACAAGTATAAGCCCAATAACTCAAATTCCTAAGTGACACCAAAGACTAGCTGGTTCTGATAATTATCTATCTACCAGCTAGAAATAAATTCCAACATTCTTTTTCAGTCACAAGCATTTCCATTCACTATCAATTAAGTAGCACTTCTCATGCAATATCTGGTTAGTATGAAAATAAATATCACATATCAAACCTGGCCTTTGAAAGGTATGGAAGCAAGAATCCTGTCAAATGCACTCTGCCGATCAGTCGTCACCAGAACAAGATAGTCTCCACTGTCATAAATATCTCTAACCTAGCAGCATATACCGAGCTATTTTAGAAGCGCCAGTAAAATATAGGGGAAACAACAAGGAAAAAGAACCAACTTTTTAGTTTTGCATCCCCTTTTTCAGGCTCTCCCAAAACTTCTCCGACCACAAAAGAAATTTGGATGGTAAAAAAGAGCAATAACTTCCCTTGCAAGATGCATTTTCAGCATTAGTTTACCTTGCCTCTAGTTTTGGACTTAAGACTAGGAATGGTCAGATGAAGGTTAGTTTCAGAGAGGCAGTTTGAGAGGGAGCTTTTGATGTCTCCAAGAACTTCTTCCTTGCGATTACTATTGAGGAGAGCTTCAGCCAAAGAGAAATGTTGTTGAGGTTCTTGTTGATGCTGGCTTCGCATTAGCGCCGAGACAGATAAAGTTAGAAACTTTGGTGGCTTCAAAGTGATTCGCGAGGAAGAAAATGAAGAGAGTGCATGAAGAGAAGGATTGATGGGAAGAAATTTAGGGCTGTGGGTTTTTGGAGGGTTTAACATCTGGGTAATGCGACCCATTGTTTATTGACGCACAGACGCGCTAGAATACAAATGCTTCTCACCCCCCTTCTCTATAACATCTAGATTACCTAAGCATCACTTTCTTGAGTATCTTTGTTCATCACCCTCAGCGCAGCCGTTCAAGTCATCGTAGACACCACAGAAGGCCACGTCATACACAGCCTCCCCCAATCTAGAGCCGGTAATACGGGTTGATGTTTTCCCAGCCCGCACCGCTTTTGACCCGCTGGTTGGCGAGCCAGCCCGCCAGCCCGCTTTTTTTTTTTTTTTTCTGATTTTTAATACATTATATAATATAGTTAGATGATTTTGACCATTAAATTTCATATGGACATTACCTCATCTATATCATTATATATATAATTAATTAAGCACTTCATATATATGTATGGTTTTTTTTTTTTGGTGAAGTCATATATATGTATGGTTATATGAAGAGCACTATCCATCTTTTATTTTTATATCTATTTGTCGTTAGTATGCACGGCTTCATAAGATTAGATAAATATGTGATTTTCATATAGTCATACATACACACACATAAAAGATTTACTTAATTAATTTGGATAAAAAAACTAGTTAAATTAATTATTTATAAAAAATATATAGTTTTTTTCTTAAATTTCTTCTAATATTATAAATTAATTCTCTTTTTTTTTATTAGAATCCATTACTCAAGTTTAAAACTCGGAGCCTAATTTCAACATTTCAAATTAGGCTTAACTCATACTAATATAATAAATTTAAAAAAAAAAATTTAGGCGGGCTGGCCCGCCAACCCGCTTGGCGGGCTCGGGCTGGCATTTGGTGCGGGCTACTTCAGCCCGCACCGCATTTGGCCCGCACCGCGGCGGGCTGGCCTGTATCCGCACCGCCAGCCCGCTTTCCCAGGTCTACCCCAATCATTAACAGAAACCAATTCAAGATCATATCGGAACCGTCCAAAACAAACAGAACCAATAGAGTAAGCTCGTTCAATGAAAGCAACGGGCAAAGCTTCCAACGATTGATAAAGCTCACTCACAGCAGAGCATCTCGTGCAATTGACGCAACATGCAAAGCTTCCCACAGATTGATAAGCTCACTTACAGGCAAAATCTTCAAAATGTAAGACCTGCAATTAATCCAAAAATACACGACATAGACTGATTAATCTCGCCCATAGGTAGAAAACGAAGCACCTCTTTCAAGATCGAAACAGGAAGAAGGAGGGAAAATAGGAATCAAGAAGATGAAGGAGAATCGTGCAGGAAGATCACATGAAGGAGTTAAGAAGTCTATGCACCTGATCCGTAGAAGAGAGAAGCAAGAAGCCGACACCTGAACTCTACAGCTGCTCGCCGTCCGGCAGAGGTAATGGAACTTTGAACTCTTCTTCCAATTGCTATGATCGACACCTTCCAAGCCTGCGAGATCGAACTTTTAAAGACGGCTTGGAGGTGGAGAATGGTTTGTGATTCTGTGCTTCGGCGACGGCGGGGATGGTTCGGGCATTGAACAGGTTCTCGCCTTCCTCGCCGCCGTCCAGTTCCGTTGAATGGGCAATGGAGAGGAGAACGTTGCGTTTTGACTTACGGCCCCCATTGGTTTTTTCTTTTGTTTTGTTTTTTTAAAATTTTTAGGAGAATTAGAGTCAAAGATATAAGGGAGATAGTATCTATTAAAAACAATTTTAAAAATTGCAATTATTTTGTACAAAATCCAACCCTACCTTTTATATGCCCCACATTTTATAAATTAATGTTATCTAATTAAATTTAGACTGAAAAGAGTATAATTATAATATTATATTAGTTTTAATATATATTTTGCCAACAATTAGTCAGTTCTAATATATATATATGCATATAAATTTATGGATAAATCTATCAATATAAAGAAAATATATATTAGAAGTAATATAATATTATTTTCTACAAAATAAGCAATAAAATATTATAATTATTCTCTTTTAATCTTAAATTTAATTAGATAAAATTATTTTATAAAACACAGATGTAATTAGAGGGGGCGTCTAGAGTCTAGATAGAATAATTTAATAGAATTTATATTTTGATACTTTTATTAAATAATTGTAATTTTTAAGATTTCCTCTCATAAATATTGTTTCCTTTGCCCCATTTGCTCTAATGACGTTAATATCCTGTTAGCACTACATTTAGGAAAAATTCTTTGAGAAATTATTTTTTTGCCAATAAAAAAACTGATTACATCTATATATCTATCTATCTATATAACCTATAATCTTGCAGCGGTTTTGTGATAGTCTATGTGACAATCTTACTCCCGCAAGGATACAACCCCTCTCAAGAGTTCTTGATGTGAGTGTGTTTTTTTAAGAAGAGTAGTGAATGGCTCTCTTACAGAGTGAATTCAATGATAAACACTGATGCTCAGTAGTAAAGTGAAAAACAGAGTATTGAATGCGTAACTAAATAATCGCAGGTGGTAGTTCGGTATTCAATCTCTTCATTAATGCCTCTTCGCGCCTTTTATAGTTGATCTCGTTAAATAGCCGTTAGACGGAAGGGCTTCTAGCCGTTGTGACTTCGTTTGCGTGTTTCACTGGTTTTAATGGCTCCGCCATTAATGCGTTTGAGTTTCTGACACTGTAGGTCGCAGCCTACGTAATCCCGTTGAAGAGCCGTTGCACTCGTTTTTCATTAATCTGCATATTTCAAACTTAGAACAAATGAGAGTTTTGTGGTGTGAGTGCTTAAATCTTGAATACAGACAGAAAGCTAATCTATCATTCAAGGATTTGTGCCGAAATCATTTATCAGTAAGAAGAGCAAAATGTCATTCTGGTTTAGTTTGATCGAAAAAGTGATCGATAACTTGATGATAGATCAAGTTATCGATAACCAGAATGAAGACTTTTCGAAGTAGATCACTAAAATTATCGATCAAGTGTTGGATCATTGACTTTAAGAATTATCATAGAAAGAGGAAATCATTGCATGATCGAAAAAGTGATCGATCACATAATTGACGATCGAACAGATTATCGATAATTTAAATGTTATTGAAATGAAGCTTCAGTCATTGATGATCGAACAACTTATCGATAAAAATATAATGCATAATGTTATCGATAAACCATGGGTATGTATATATTCAATGAAGAACACAGGCTATCTGAAAAGATCGAACATTTAATCGAACAATGAATATTCGAACAAATGATCGAATAAATTATGAAGAGAAGATTAATCCTATAAGGCAAGGAAACTGGTTATCGATCACCTTTTGTGAAAACATGATTTTCATGGAATTGGATGATCGATCATATTATCGAAAAACCAGTGATCGATAACTTGATCGAACATTCGTTCACCATAACTTAATGCGAATATGTCAATTCTTAGACTCTTTATCGATCACGTTATGTGAAAAACTTTTGTTAAGCAAATAAGTTAAAGTTATCGATAATGTTATCGATAATTTAGCTGTAGCAAAACTGAGTAAGAGTAGATAAGGACATTGGTTATCGATCATGTGATCGATAATTTTGTGATCAATAAAGTTATCGATCTATCAGTGAATTTGATCACCTGCATTCAGAGAGTTAGAGCATAAAGTTCGAGCACGTAATCGATAAACAAATGATCGAAAATATGATCGATAAACTTGTAACAGAACTAATGTGCAGAACAAGTAGAGAGTGTTACCTTTTATCGAAGTCGTTATTGATGACTGATTTATCGATAACCTTGATCGATAAATACACTTCAGATTTGGGTCTCTTATCAGTAACCGATTGTTTACCTGATATTATCGATCAGCTTATCGATAATTTCCCAAAGTCTTATGTGATATTTACGCTAGCGATTATCGATCATTTTATCGATAAATTATTCATCGAATAGTTCTTCGATCAAAAAGACTACTATAGATCGATTTATACTTGATCATTTATCTGAAACCTTAGCGATAACTGATTGCTCGATCATCGTTATCGAAATACTTAACCCTGAAATTCTGACTGTT